ACTCTTCAACGTCCGGAATAGGCTCCAAGGTCCGGTCTGATATCCGTAGACGGATCCGTATCGTCCTTGCAGCTACTTTCTAATGGTGTAACGCACTCAAACTCCTAGTAGTGAGCTTAATCCCAGCGAGAAGACCGAGTCCAACTCAGTGAAACCATCTCTTTCTTAAAGCTGCCTTTCTTCGAGCAGTTCGTCTTTAAAAGCGGACACAAAATTTTGCATCTAAAAACTATTCACTGGAAAAAAAAAAACACATTGGATCTAGGGTCTAGACTCTTGAAAACATTGACAAGAAAAAGGACTCTTGATTCAAGCAGATTTAAGCTTAGATTAAATGGAAATCCGCTCAAATTAAGAGGCTTGGTTCTTGATTTAAACTTAAATCTGACTGAATCAAGAGTATTTTTTCTTGTCGATGTTTTTAAGAGTCTGGACTCTGGATCCAATGTGTTTTTTTCCCAGTGTACTCATGTTTCGAACAGTATGGCTCCATATTCAACGAGAGAAGCTACACATTTTCCGGATGATCAATCCAGGGGGGGGGGGGGGGAGGACCTCGAGGAGCTTATTGCTCCATGACGAGAATTAACGCGCTCACTTATTTTTCCTGCGGGCTCACTATCGAAATGGATAGACAAAGCGATAGACACAGAGGAGAAAGGAAAAATGGAGAGGGCATATTGATTGAAACGGGTGGTTGTTATAGACCAAGAGGAAACTGATGGGCTGACTAAGAGATCTTTCGTAGGGTGTCGTTATTTAGTTGAATAATTACTTTTTCGTCCAAAGCAACCACCTGTTTTCACCACCCAATTTTAATAATGAGCCCGCTGAATTGGACGTATTTCTGCCAGACGGAACTATGTGCATTAAAACATGAGCCCTGAGACCCATAAGAATATATGCATAACGAGGCTCACGTCATAATACACATTGTTCCGTTTGACAGAGATAGTCCAATTATGGATAGTATGGACGATTTATCTCACGTTTTCATGATCATCATCCCCTTGGGCAGAGCAGCCAGGACACTCTGATTTCGGCCACCGCTCGGACCACCACGCCGGGTTCGCGACGCCTTCACTTAGCGGTAGATTTAGTGTCACCTCACTGTACGTTTATCGACTTATATACATTTGTTTGTTCGCACGATATCTGTTGATTTTCGTTTATTTGTCATAACCATATTCGGTACCACCACGGTACACCAACACTGGCACAGCCCCAGTACACAACAGTGGCACAGTCAAGTACATTATAAAAACAAAAAGACGGTAGCCCCTGCGCATGAGCCTATAGAATCATTCTAAACCCAAAAATTAGCAAAATTAAGAGAAATGAAAGCAGAGTAGTGTTAGGGAAAAAACCTCACATTCGATTCAGCTATCAATTCCTGTGTAGAATGCGAGGTTTTTCCCCTAACACTATTCTGTACTGGGGAAAAAAAAAAACAAATTAGATCTAGAGTCTAGACTCTTGAAAACATTGACAAGAAAACATTCTCTTAATGCAATCGGATTTTTGCTTGCATCAAAACGAAATCCGCTTAAATTAAGAGGCTTGGTTCTTGATTTAAGCTAGATTCTGATTGAATGAAGAGTACTTTTTCTTGTCGATATTTTAAAGATTCTGAACTCTAGATCCAATGTGTTTTTTTTCCAGTGTGCTTTCATTACTTTGAATTTTGCCGATTTTTGGGTTTAGAATGATTCTCGAGGCTCATGCGCAGGGGCTATCGTCCTTCCTTTTCTTTTTGCTAAAAATTCAAACTCTGCCGACATTTTCGACCTATAAGTCGATGCGATATGCCAGTTCGACCACGTCACCTGAGTTTGACGAATCACCTTGAGCGGGACTTGGATTCGAAATAAAATTGGTCCGAATTTGGATCCTGCATGAAGGTGGCGCGGATAGGTGGAAACCTCGAAAGAGCGAGGAGCGGAAAGGAGAGGAGACGGAACGGTCTGATGTTGGAGCGGCGCGCGCGCGGCGGCGAAGCGGATGTGAAAGTGACGTTCAATACGAGCGAGAAGCGACGCCGCGCGGCTCGACGACTGCGACCCGTCCGACCCAATGCCTAGCCCCGAATTCGGTTCCCTAGGTCCGGTAGAGTCCCATCGGGCCCCGACCCAAGACGCCACCGACCATCACTTAATTGCGTGTAGTTGTGGCCCCCCAATACAGGATGTCCGCAACTTGATAGCCCATGCTTGGAGCATTCATATTCGGGCTCAAAAAGACTTTTTCAGGGATGCAGAAAGTTCTTCAGTGAACGCTTTCACTAGCAGAGACGGACTGGTCCGCGGTGCTGGGAGCCATCGCCTCTTAAATTTTGAAGTACAGGGCAAAGTTCGGCAGACTTTTGGTCAGCCAGGGATGGAAAAAGTTCTCAACCACGGTCGCGTTCAGTCGCGTGCAAAATGGGAAAGCCGGCAAAACCGCGTGTTTTTGCAACAGTGTTTTGCATCAGTATTTTTAGTAAAATTGCGGTAAAAATCGAGTGTTTTCTATGCATAATTGCGGTAATTTATAGGTGCTGAATCGTAAAAAAATAATTTTGTTGAAATTTTTGAGGCAGAAGGGTTTTTTTGATGGGAAGGCTAATAATTTGAAAAATGGGAGGACCAGGAACTTTCTCATTCCCTGTTTTTGGGGCCCCTTTCCGAGGTTTTTAAGAAACCTCGCAGGACACTTTCGGGCCTTTTTTAAACTTAACGTCCCTTTTTAAAAAGGAGAAGCCTTCCAATCCCCTTTTCCGTGGGGTCCGCCTCCTGAAAATGTTGCAATTAGTCCGCCTCTGTTGACCGGCAAAGACAAAATTTTCCTACGCACCATAGTGCAGCACGGTTGGGGGTAATGTCGACAATGCATTAACACAGCTGAAGTGATTTACAGAAAAATTAACGAGCGAGCAATGATTTGTACATTTTTACCAAAATTAGAGCCCTTGCAGAGTTCCCAGCAACAAGAGAGGATACACTTCTAATAATTCTAATACGTTGACGTTGCCAATTTGAAGTATTGCTGGCAATAAAAGGCGCGCCCGCGTGTGCCCTATATAACGCCTTCCATCTCGTAGTCATACTTCAAGCGCTACACCGTTGCACAGACGTACCGACGCTCAAACTGCTGATTGTACTGCATTTCCTGGAGTGTACGCGCCGTGTTTTGACTTTTGAGGACTTGAGGAGTACATCGGCGACCCGCGATCCACGGATCGGGCGATCGAGCAAATTATGCACACCCAAACTTTTCCTCTTACAGGAGGGTTTTTCTAAAAACGCTTTTGGCGGCGAAATTGCTCCTGAAATTTTCTCTGAAAATATGTCAATAGGTAACTCTTTTTCAAAGCATCAAATGTTAAGAAAAATTGTTTCTTGAGGTAATTTTTGGCGTACTTTTCCTTTTCGTTAAAAATATAAGGTTTTTATTGAGCGGCCGGCGGTTTGCGAGATCTCAACATTTAAAAAATTACCAATTAACATTTTTTTACCAAATTTTAAAGTAGAAATCTTGCTTTCCATCTCTCTATGAAACCAATGAAAATAATAGGTACCTACGCTTAATATTGCAGAGTCTGAATTTTCACTGACATTTGACACTTTAAAGAAGGGACATTGATAATAAATTTTGGTAAAAAAAAATCCACAACTCTGATGGGCTCTAAGTAGGTAGAGCCAAAAAAAAGCATAAAAAAAAATTATCAAAGCGACTTTTTTCGAACGAAAGCCTTAATTTCGGCCCCAAAATCAATTTTCGAAGTACAGTGCAGTAACCTCCAGACAGCCTGTATGATGAGGACTCTTTCCACATCCATCATCCTCATCAGGGGTTTTATGTCTTAATCAATGGTTACAGTTTTTCAGGACTTGTCCTCAAAATGCGTACGCAAAGAAAGAAAAAGATCTGATAAACCTGAGTCCCAAGGGACTTACATTTCCTGTTCACTCGAGGTTTCCATAATCTTTTCAATTCCTAATTACTTGACTTTCCTTGACCTTCAAACAAAAATCTGATTTCTTTTCTTCTTTTTCTTAAAAACACACTGATTTCTCCAATGCTCTGAAAAAAAGTTCATGTCTGGCCATTCAAATAATTGATGAAAGCACTCAGAGGTTGTTCGTTCTCTCTCAAAAGGTGCCAGCTAAAGTTGCCGAGACCAATGACGGATCCAGGAAGTTGGCAATAATGTTGTACCTCTAGCTAGATCTGTGGAAATGAATCGATCTTCACAGGGTCAAGTGCTCTGGCAAAAATAATTGCTCCCCACTGGTTTAAATGTTGCCAAGTTGCTAGCTCCACCTCTGGCCAAGATAATGCGCCAATCGTGAGATTGCGTGGCTTTACATGGTTTTTGAGACTGCCAAATAATAATTCAAATGAAGTCTTAGTTATGTAAGTAATATTTGGTAGGGTACGGGTGTGGACGCTAATAGTGGGTACCTATGTTGCCTCAGGAGTCTGACCAAATGCTTTTAAGGGTGATAAGCAAATTGAGAAGGGAACTCTCTTTAAGATAGGTAGGGTTATGGGAGGGTTCCTTCCCTTTGAAATTTTATAAAACAGTTGAGTGTACAGATGGCGACGTTGTATATCTCTCTGCATGCTCTTAGTTCCATAGTTTCAGAACACTTCCCTGGGAATTTTTTCTTTAATCCAGGGGGCTTGACAATTACTTCTCCAGGCTTGGACACTAAGGTGAAATAGCTAGTTGTACTTCCCCCACATTATCCTTAAGATGTGGGAGATAAGGTTAAGAAAAGTTTTTGAAGACACCATTTTAGCCTCGTTGTGTAGTGACCATAGCAAATCTGAAAAAAGGGGACACGAGTACTGGTTCTGTTGCAGGGCCGCTTTTGCTGCTTGGTCTCACAAAATATAGGGATCAATATAAGAGGGATTTCTTTTTTGATATCTAATTCAATGTCTGGCATCAACTTGAAACAACAGGTAAAAGACATTTACTTGCTTGAAGGGTAGGTTACTTAATGCTACCTTACCTGGGTATTCTGTTTGATCTTAGATACATCAGATGATGAACTCTTTTCCTTGGGATTTCTTAAAACTTCAAAGGTGCACGATGATTTTAAAGTTGAATTTTCGTCTTTAGAAACGGCTTCTAGAAATTTAACACCAAATTTGGCACATAGTACGTCCATATGTTTTTGCACAAGTGGAAGATCGTGTTCACAGAATTCGATACGAAATTTAAGGGAAGCAGAATCGGCAGGCTTTTCCATTTCGTCGGGGGGTCTAATACCTACATTCTTACGGTTCGGTTTGAAGAATTGAGACACGCAGATGATTAAAAATCACAAGCACTTTAAAAGAGAAAGAAAAGTTATCCATTAACCTCCTAAATTTTCTCTACTTATCAGATGTTTTTTTGTTTTGCACAGTAGTTTCTTAATTTGGTGCTAGGTAGCGTTGACAAGCGCTCGAATGAATAAAATTAGCGGGAAAATTGAAATTGACCAGAGTCTTTGAGCTTATCGATATTTTAATCAAATAAATCGATGAAGTATATATATATGTGGTTATGAGTGAATAGGAAGGGTTGCCAAGGCAATCGGCAAACAATTACAATCTTGGCACTTCAAGTTTTCACACAGAGGAGCAAACTTCAAAAGAATCAGCCCTAACTCTGCAGGATAAATTCGCCTGATGTAAGGTAACTCATAGGGAAGGGATTTTTTGTTAGGTACACCCTCAACTTTAAGAGCTTTCCTTGAGCTTGGGAAATTATTTCAGAGGAAGCTTAAGTTCACTACAGGACGAGATGATAGAATAAAAAAATAAGCAGCACTCAGAAATTCCATAGTAATTGAACTGTTCAACAGAGCAGCACCCAGATATTCCATGGTACCTAATTAAACAGAGTTCAACCAGACAGACGCGCATAGTGCGTTTCATGACAGAAACGCACCAAGTCACATCAAGTTTGAACTGAAAAAGAGAGGTTAGAAGTTTTATTCCTGTGTGAGACTTAATGTTACAAATGAGGTTTTTTGAATAAAATGTTTGAAATATTTTTCCTTAGCTTAAAATTTTTGACAGAGACTGGTTGAATTAATGGGGACAGGAATTAATGGCTGGTTGAAAGCAGAACTAATCCCAACTCATTTCTTTTTTAAAAATTGACTTAGTGCATTTTTTTTAAACTCAATTATCTAATCGATTCACCAATAGTTGATTCGTTTCACGTTGCGCCATAAAAATTCTGAAAAAAGGTGTAAAAAAAGAAGGAAAAAATAAATGCTATAAATGAGAAAGAAAACGAGCAGATTTATTAAACATGAACACATAACATATCAGAGAGAACAAACAGTTTTCTTTCTTTTCTTCTCCATGTATCTGCTTAGAAAATTGTACGCAATACATGCATAGAGAAATAAGAAGGGTGTACCTCTGAGTAATTAACGATACAAAAACTGGATTGATAAGTAATGGTAACTTCAGTTTCATGGATGTTATTATGAATTCACGATCTAACTGTTCATCACACTGTTGGGTGAAATCACTGGTTATTGTAACACCTACCATTATATGGTAAAATATAGGCATCTTTTTTGGTTAACTGAGTCAAAAAATCACAGAGTATACAGAAGACCAGAACTGACACTTAAAATCTGTTGTTGAAAATACAGACTTGAATAATAGATTTTACAATCTTAATTATTTATACATGTGTTGATAAGTACTCCATGGTTACAGGCGATTAAGGTAACTTAAAGATATTTACTGCAAAAGAAAAAAAAATAATAGAGTAGGAATATGAAAAAAAAAAAAGTATAAAAAATCATTCATATTAGAAGTAGGTAACAGGAAAGTTTCATATTAATCGTAATTTTAACTACACCCCACTTGTTCTGTGTTTTCCTCAGGTATGAAGTGTAAAACATTTTATTTCAGTCCATCTATTCATGAGGGTTTAAAAACAAGAAAACAGAGCATTTTCTGCAACGAAGTAATTACAAATATGAAGAAGATAAAACATGTAAGCATAGGCAGATACCTACTTCAAAAAGCCACCGCATTATGTAGTGCTCAATTATTTTTAAGGATGCCACTAAAAATTAGTAAAGAGGCTCTTACATTCTTTAGAAAAATTTGGATTCCCTTGTCCAAATAAAAAGTTAATATCTTTTATGTAAAAAATTAAGAATTGACTTTAAGTTCGAACGTCATTTCATTTAAGACTAAAATAATGACAGGCTTTCCTCTCCTGATTTAATTTTTCAGAAATTCTATTTTCGCACAAAATATACATAGTACGTGACCATTCACAGGAAAAGGATTCTTACAACAAGTCATCAGAATATGAGTTGCTGTTGTTCCGGATTGACGTCTCTTTTCAAGAACTACATTGAAAGGCACTTTTTTCATTCAATTAAAAACAAAAAAGAAAAACAGAATTTGGAACTACAAAAACTGGAAATTATACATGTAACTGTAATCAGACAATCAGGAATAATGAACTCACGATCAGTTATGAATAGATCCCTGATACTGTTTCAAGACTTTCACCATTGGGGCACTGTTTCTTAGGCAGCTGCAAACTTTTATTTGCTTTTCAGTAAAGAATGAAAATGCCATTTTAAATGGCACTTACTTTTAAAAACGATATTCATTCATCAGAATCATACTCGCTGATTAAGGCATATATCTTAGCTTTTAATTGTCTTTTCTTTTTAAGATTACTCATTTTACTTAGCTCTGAGACAACATCCTTCCCAAAGTAGCTATCTTCATTTTCTTCCATTGTCTGCAGTCTGTTAGAGACTTTAAAAGCTACTGCTTCTGATAAATGACTCAAGTCACTTAGAAACGTATCTTCAGAACTTATTTTTCGTCGCTTATCATTGGAACTGTGATTGGATGGGTGTGAACCCAAGGGAGATAAAGGTCTTTTTTGAGCCTCCACAGCACAGGTAGATGAGGATAAATACGCGGGTAGATACGGGGTAGGTAATACAGGTACATGCTCCTTGGAGTCTTTCGAGCTGTCTTCACAATCGTCTTCTAATTCTTCGCCGATGTACTCGGCAGAGCCTTGGGAATCAGAAATCTGCGATTGGCATATGAGAGGATATTGTGATGGAGGCTCGAAATGAGAACTGCTCCTGGAAAAAAAAATGTATTGTCAAATGGAAAATTTCTGGGAACTACCTTGATCAGAGAACTTATATAAACATCTCTAAAACATGAAGACAGAGCGCCAGCAGTAGAAAATGATGCCTTGCTTTAAATAGGTCGAGAATATTGCAGCAAAAAAAAAAAAAAAAAAAAAAAAAAAAAAAAAACAGATTTGAATTTGAAAAAGAGGCGAGAGAAATTACAAGGTTTCCTTTTAATTCGTTCCTAAAATCTCGTTAAAACAGATTTCTTGAATTCTTTTATACTTCTCAAATAATACAAGCAACTTTCAGGACGACACAATGTTGGCTAAAACTGAATATTTTATCTGATAACAACTTTTATGGCATTTATCTGTTAACTTGCTTGGCGAATTCCTGATAACTTCAGAGTTTTTGTATTCAGTTTGGATATGGATAAGATTTTAAAATTTGCGGCATTGAGAAACGAGCTTTGGACACACAAAACCAAAATTCTCAAAATATTGTTATTTTTCAGGCCATGATAGATTATTGCAACCCAAGAGTGCAATAGAGTGTAGGTGACGTTGCAAATTTGCATTAAATTTCAGTAGGGAAATGATGTTTTCATTACAGAGACCACTGTAGAACACTTTACTGTAGGGATATTTCGAATGCCTCTAGTTTTCGCTCTCGACCGTAACTGATTCAAGGGCTAATGGCTTCGATGTTACTGATTTTAACAGCATTTTCTAGGAGCTGTAGAGCTGAAGTAAGTACATGGTGACCTCATCATTTTTTATATTCTTGTTTTAGGTATTTAAATTAAGCTCAAGACGTATTATAAGCTGATCAAGAAGAAAACTTGAAATCAAATTTCCATTAGCTGTGCATGGAGTCTGCATTTATTTACACATTTACACAAGCAAGCCTGAGCGGCTCCTTTAAATAAAATAATGTTTGAAGTGCAACATGGGTGACTTTCTACATGAAATAAGTGTAAGGTTGATATACTTGTACACGCCATTACATAAGTATTACATGTTATTTTACACATTACCTGGTGTGTAATAAAATTTACTGCCCTACATAGAGGTGTGTACTGGTATGTTAACCTTCCACTTATTTTTAAGGAAAAACCGGAAAAACCTTATGCTTCCACAACATCACAGTTCAAATTAGTTCATAAACATGCCTTAATAGAGGTCTGAACTCTCTTTCTACATTAGAGGCTCGGCCCCTCCACGCGGTGTCTCTGCAGTTCAAGTTTCAGGTCCTTCAATGTCTTGATTATTATCTCATCTCTGTCTGTCACATATAAATTTTTTGTAATTTCTCATCTCTATATTAAGCAAAATGCTGACAACCTGTTTTTTAAAATGATACATTGTATCTCCTCCTCATTAATCTTCCTCCGAGAAATATGGGTCTTGACCCTTTCTTTACCAGACTATATTCTGCAGGGGCATACCGCACAATATAGATTGTCGTGCAAATGAATTGGAGCGCAATCTGTCGCGAAACAGCTAAGGTTGTAGTTCAGATCCTCTCTAAGAAAAAGAAGAGGTACAAGTGTGTACACCTCTGAGTGAAGGTTGTTGAATCATAGAATAATAATTAACTTCTGTTGAGTAATGACGGAAATGTTGCAGGAAGGATACGGTTTTGCTGAACGCCAATGCTGTGTTTGAGGTGATGAAAGGGTTAACTTTTGTCTCTCCGAAGCTATTTTTATTCATCGCTGAACCACTTCCTGAAATGTTTGAATTAATCCATGTTTTTCTCTCAAAAATTAAAAAAAAAACCGTTTATTTTGGAAGAATGTCTTCTTCTTGATACTAAAATATATTATTAAATGGAGTTTAAGTATAATAAAGATTTATACCTTCGACCGACAATGTGAGGATCCAAAAATTTGAGCAATTTATACAAGCCCCACTCATGTTGGGTTGAATCATTGGAGACTCCACTTCTTTGAATGAGTCTTCGAACTTTGCCATATTTCTCTCGCAGTAGTTTCCATTTATTTTGTGCTTCTTTGACTGAAAGGAAAGAAAAGGACAGATTTACTAGCTGAAGCAACATTTCAAAGATAATTATTTTGGCTTTGGTACTAGGCAACAGGATCCACCACCTGAGGGATTTTACTGTTGATCTCTCCCATTCCAATTAAGCAATAATGAACATTGCCACCGAATAATTCATTACATAGGTAAAAAATCCAAACAGCTCTCTAGGATAGGTTCCATGCTGCTTATTTCTTTTGCACACTCGATAAACATAGCGTATGCAGTGTTGTTATTCCTCAGTTAAGAGCGACATCCATTTGTTTAACAGAAGTTGAGTTACTTGGAAAAAAAGTTATGCGGGATGGCGAAAATTTAGAGTTTTCTCATTCCCTCTAGAGGCCACAGTTCAAGTAAAAAGATTTTGGTGGAAGACCAACATTAAAAGAAAGAATAATGAAGTCAAGTGGTCTTTATTGGACAATAGTTATGTAGTCATTACATGGGCAGTTCAAGTCCCCTTAAACAAAAAGCCTACACTCACGAAATCCATCTTACAAAAAAAGCTCAATCTCTTAAGATTCCATCTTTATGTTTACATTTTAGGTGAGAGCGAAGTGCAATTACAAACCTAACACCCCCCCCCCCCCANAACAGCTACGGTCACGTTTCAAGTAAAAAAGATACATTTTTTGCAGTTTTTGACATTGTTATTATTGAAAAAAACAAAAAAAAAAACTGACTCTCCAAAACAGACTTAATTCCAAGGCCAATGATTAATGACTGCTTTGGACGAATTGCAAACTTCATGGTCCCAGGAGTAAGGAAACCAAAATGACAAGAGTTAAAATAGAGGAGTCGCAGTGTCACTGATGACCGAATTCTGCTTAGAGAGGGAAGAATTGTTACAAACCAACATACTTGAGATCCCGAGTTCAACTGCTATTTCTTGCCACGCGACATACTTTTTCATACCATTTTTGAAATCTGTTTTTGACTTGTCATATATGAGACTCCGCTCTTCTACCAGACGGATCAATTTTTCTACATCCATTACACTTTTTGGTTCATCGGACGTCATCAATCTAAAAAGAAAAATAAATGATACAATTTGAACAAATATCAAGGATGTTAAACATGTTGATGGTATAGTTAGGATAAGTGAAATTTTATATTGTATCTTGCACAGATACTGTTCTCTCCTTATGTGATGATGAAATTCAACAGCACGAAAATTGCTAAAAATGAATTTCAACTGGAAATGTTGAAATAAGTGACAATATACCACACCTAGCCTGATATTAGTGTGTGCTCAGGGATGTCAGAGAGTGAAAATCTTTAACCTGAGATCAGCTTCTCTTCCACCTCTGTGAAGACCTCTTAGTCATTGGTCGGAGAGTCAGCACTGCAACCACAATGCCACAGGAAGCCTTTTGAGACAGTAAACTTCATTTATAATTAGCAAGAGTATAAGAGCGGCTTAATAGCCTTGATAGCGCTCCTTTCAATCTGTCTTGGTGACAAATATTATGGGTATAACCGCTTGCACATGACAGAGCAGAGATCTTGAGAAGTAGACTGAATTTTATAAATTTTCCTTCAACAAAAGCAAATCACTGTTAGGTTTGAAATATGATGAAGTCACATGTCCACGACTTGGAGCAGAAGAGTTTCAGCAACGTTTTTCCTGTTTTGAGTCACAAGAAAACTGCCCGCCGATCCCTAATAGTTAATACATACTTAGTTCATGATGATTGACATTTTGCAGCTGACATTATATAGCTCACGACCAGATCTTAAAAATAACATAAAGAACTTCCCCTAAGCTTACTGAGAATCAGGATAATTTGACAATTTTAAATGTTTCTACTCAGTTACAATACTTTCGCTCTGAGCTACTCAGCTCATTTGGGTTTAACTATCAGCACACACTATTTCTGACTTGAATTCGAAGAGAGGCATTCTTTTCAGGTGGCTCCACCAAGAGCGTGAGATCAAAGAGAACAAATGTAAATGCTTCTGTAGGAGGTAAAATTTGTTGCACTCTTTTGAGGTAAGTGCGCAAAGTGGCATGAGAATGAGAGATAATTATTGCTTATACTTAAAGCAAGATAGTGCTTTTGAATGTTAGGTTAGAAATTTACGATCAAAGCAAAGACGGAAGCGCTCCAGAAAGCAACTCAAGAGAATTCAAAGGTAGATCTAATTACATTAAAATTTACGAAAATATTCAATTTTACGTAACGTGGAAAACCACTAAAGACGCGTGAAGATGCGGAAACGAACTGCTGGAGCACTGAGAGCAGAGAAATTATCAGCACTGTACATCATGCTACAAGAACCTCATTGGATTCAAGTAAAAAACGTCAATCAGTAGTTAACGTGAAAGCTCTATGATTCTCATGATAAAGTAAAATTTTCAGCAGTAATTACCAAGTTCGTAATAAACAAAACCACGAAACAAATCCCTTCACTTGAAAAATGCAACATGCACTGCAATGCACTTCATTACTTCACTTATCACTTACGTCATGTGAAGTGGTAAAGCTTCACTCGAAGCTGTCACAAATCCACCAAAAATCATGAATAGATGAGCATGGACCGTCACCGATTGCTTGGTCTGCAGACATGTTTCCTTCATAAACCTTACATTCATGATTGCTCTCTGCAGATTCTGCAGACTTACTGGCTTTATTATCAGTTATTTATTTACCCGCTTCTTCCAATTTAAAGGTGCCGATTTCAGAAGCAAACCATGTGTCATTCAAGTTTTTGCAAACTACTCAATCATATTTTTGTACCGGTTTCCTTTTAAAATCATCAAAGTTTTTACTGTTTGAATTGTGCGCAATGGAGAACAATTTCACTCGACAGCTTTTTGGTGGTAACATCGTTCGTGCCTTCTCTCAATGTGTCGCTCAACACCTGCTGCTCCTACTGAACTACAACCTTGTAACGCACTTTAGTGTATTTTCTCCTTTGAAAGTCATTGAAGAAGTGTACAACAACATCTCATCACTGAAATTGGTATTTGCTTTATCAGAAGTAGTGTTGGTCGTGTTGATCTTCACGCTCATAAATTACCCCACTTTCGTTCAATCTCAAAAGTTCGACTCACGATTTCAACATTACCTCAGTTACTTTTCTGCTTCCAAAGCTGTCACTCTGCTACAGTATGGTATATGCGGTGTTCTCTTAGGTTTTGCTTACGCATCGTTTGGTCATGAAGATCATGAATCTTTATTTATCAACTGCAGCACTTCAATGCCAAGCAAATTTTGTATCAACGGGCAAAAATTATTTTTTGTACTGCTTGGAGGATGGGCCAGCATCTTGCTCTTTTTTCGTGACAATGCACTGAAGAGCAAAATTATAGTATTTCCTATTATTCATGAACTAACTGTTTTTAAAATAAAAAAAAACCTAATGCAAACGCTGCTTCTTAATTTCAAAACTGCCTGTTTGACTTCCGTATCCTTCATGTTCATGTACTATTTTACTCAAAAACATTTAATACATTTCTTGCAGACATACTTGTTCCTTTCTATTGAAGCAGCCAATTTGAATGGTTTCTTCAAAATTGGACAATTATTAGCCCTCGTCATTTATTGTACTTTTGTCATTTCCTCCCACGAACTCTCCAAATTAATCTTCAATATCTTCTTCACTCGTCACATCAAGTTCCCCGTTGCAAAGTCTGATAGTATTTGCTTGAAGGAGGCGCTACAGATGTCGAAAGTACCGTTCTTACAACATCTTGCCTTCAATGACTTAGTGATATTATCTGAGAGAGACAAGGATCGCAGAAGTGTCCTGTTCTCCCTCAGCTTGCCTGGAGGTCATCCTCACCAATGGAGAGGTGTTTTCACTCCCGTTATAAACACTGTTGAATCTTTCTCTGATGAACTGAATAAGTTACTCTCAGATGTTGCAAGTCCATCAAAGAAAATGGAGTCTAAGAAGGAAGTCAAACTTCTTCCAACTGGCTTACAGATCCCTGTTGTTAGTCCTGTAAAAAGAAATTTTGAACTGAGCAGAACTTTTTCATCACCAAAATCCCCTAATATGAGAGATTTATCAGTTATTTATACAAACACTGAGCCTCTCACAGCGCCTATTCCAGCAAAAAGTACAACATCAAAAGTTTCTATTTTTGACGCATGTAAAAAAGCTTTCAGTGAATTCCTTATTCACCTCAAAACACAGATTCAAGATCCAGCTATCTTAAATTATTTCTTAGTCAGTAATGCCGAATACAGGCTAATCTGCATTTTACAAAATGTTCAGCTTGTAAGTTGGTCTATTGATAGTCTGTCACTCTTGGCATGTGCATCTTTTGCAGAGGATAAATATGGTATTGTACAACAAGACTTATCCAGAATTATTGTAGCCATGTTAAAAGTAAAAAGCGTCATCGAAAAATTGCCCAAAAACAGTGCTCTTCACAAAGTATTTTTATCCTATGATAAATATGCACGATCAAACTTGAAGGCAACAGTGAAAAGAAGCCTGTACCGCCTTTCTTTGACTTTTGGAGAGTACATTTTTACATTATCCTTACCCCCTGATGCTGAACAACAGATGTCACACTTCTTAAACTTTGTGGAAAGTTAGTGTTCACACAAATCCTTCAGCTCAACTGAACTGTACACTTTTTAATCATAAGTTTGTGTCATTTTTCTTTTAACTGACAGGAGCTAGGCTAGTGGCTAAAATAAAAAAAAATTGTAAATTTTGTAATATTAAGGATTTAGTTGTAGAGAACATTTTCTTACTTTTTTACTCAGTCACTGACTTGCACACTACATTATATTTGTATATTTTCTCTTTTGTTCTTGAAGTGATTTACTTGTCTTTAGTTGCCAAAGTTCATCATTGGTGTAAGTAAAGTATTTTCTCTCATAATCCTATGTTATTTAAAAAGATTTGATGATCAAATTTTTAACTTGGAATTTTTGTACTTTATTCAAAAATAAATTAGAACACAATAAAAGCTTGCTCATTAAAAATATAATTTTCCATTATCCTCCCAAGAAGATCTAGAATCTAGAAGATTTTAACGCATGAATGTTACATTACAATGAAATTAAAATGTGCCAATGAATTCAGTCTTATCTACAGCCTAGTGTCAAAATGATAAATGATGTATTCTGCAGGCAGTAGATATTATGATGATTTGATGGACCAAACTGTAAAACATTTTGGTTATCACTCTTACGACTTAGAAACATTCCCTTTCTTCTCTTTAGACTAAAGAGGAATTGAGGCGGTGACTGCACTATCATCACATACTCATAAATGCACTTTTAAGCATTACCTATGAACATACAGGTTGATGCTATAACTGCACAACAGGGTGTAAACAGGGTTTCAACATTTTTTGCGGATGATCCTCTCAAGAACATTTTGAAAGTACATATCACCCTCTGCTCTAATTCACTTTGAGAAGTACAACTACTATAAAAAAAAAAAAAAAGGTTTGGTCACATGGTAGCACCTATAAATGCAGAAGTGTCAGTGATTAAGATTATTTACATTCATCTCATTAATCCTTTGAAATTGCAGACTCAGAGAACATAACTAAGGAAAGTGATTCTGATGCGGAACTTGCACATAAGCATTACATTTTGCGCTAAGTTCACTATTATTTTATTTCATTCTCCGACCCACTCAAATTTTCGAAAATTAAATGGTTGGATGCAATAAAAGCACATATCTTGCGGTCAAATCGGCTGTGAATTGCACCTAATCCAAGTATTTTATAAATTCTTGCATGGTCCCTCGCCTTCAGACGAAAAGGATTTAACGATGAAGGCCAAAAAATTCTGCTATATTAAGTGCCTTGGTAAGGCAATGTAATATGTAATAAGAAATTAGAACTTCAAGTGCGTTTTTCTGAAAACAGTGTTTTCTCGTAGATATGTGTTGTTACTGCATCCACCATCTCAATTACGAACTCTAAAACAAACTAAGAAATCCTCTACTCCTCAGTGTATTTGATTTAAATTTGATCTTATGAAATGAAATTGACTTTAAAATACATTTGAAGGCATTAGGATTACTTTGGAAAAATTTATTTTTAGACAAAATATAAGTACAAAATTATACAATTTGTTTTATAACAACAGTTGCACTATAATCTTTGTTGCAACACAAGATACATTCTCAAATTGTAATTTACTTACATCCATATCCATCTAAGGCGTTAGGTATTGTTTTTCTCATGTCTTTACAAGATCTACTACCTACTACAGATCAACAAATATTTCAGTTCTGGGTCTTATGCATAATGTGGGTAAAAAAGTCCACTTTTTTGAAAAGTAAAAAATTCTAAAAGAAAAAAATTTAATCACAATTCCTCAAAAAAAGGAAAAAATATAGTGTATCATAATCATAATATGTATATGATGGCATATGATGCCGTATCTCTCAGAGAAAGATTCAAGAGCAAACTTGCAAAGAAAAATAATGGGAGGACTCCGAAGAACTCATAGTGTCCACTTATGATTTCAATGAAATTTTGAGGGTCAATACTGCGTGGGGAACTATTAAGGTTAAGTTTGTTTTCAATGACCTTACGAAAGTAATGTCGAATTAGTAAAATTTTGGAGAAATGCTTGGATCCACTAAAACGCAATCTAAATGTTGAAATTTTTACTCTCAACCTTAAAATTCAGATCGATGCATTCTGCATACCTATTTCTTTCTATATTTGGACTACATTTTGCAATTTGGACCTATAAACTCTGACTCATATGAAAAAACACTTATGTGCATGGGGAAACTTACGGCATGTACGTTGCTTTTAAACCGGACTGGAATTTATAGTTCCTGATTGCAAAATTTAGTCCATTTGTGGATCATGCAAATGATGATCGCAGAAAAAAGCTTCTTGCCCTGAGTTCTTCAATTTTGTATTTTACAATTTCAAAGAACGCGCGTTCTAAATTCCTTGTACAAGGCATTTTCTTGCTTAACACCCATAAAAAGTTAGTAGATGCATAGATGCAGGGAAAGCTTTGGGCTGTTGACAATTCAATTTATAGTCCCTCATTGAGAATGTCAAAATTGAGCCCAGTCGTGCATTTATTGTTAAATTATCAAACTTATACATCTTACGGTGGCTCTTGTAGCATCCTTTGGTGAGATAAAACTTTCCTCTTCTTTATAGTTCTCTATCCTCAGAATTCCGTGGTACTTAATTGAATGTGGACAAGAGGGATTGTCTTGTTGTTATATGAAAGAAAAAGCTACTTCTCTTGAGAATGTTGATCGTTATTCGATTCCTGTTTCATGGTTTGAACTGTTGATAAACTAATTAAGGCTCGAGCTTGCTGTTGAGAAAGTTCAACATGCATACAGCTTGAGTTTAGGGTATAGTTTTACAGCTTCATGGTCAAATTCAGAGATTAGGTTTTGCAACTTGCGGTCGAACGTAGACAACAAAATTCAGGCCCTGAGCATTCCATTAAATGGGTGTCAAAGAATTAATACAATGCTCAGCAGAATGATTTCCATTAATGGCAACACATGGTTTTTGCTGCTAACAATATTTCTATTAGGCATAGTACTAAAACACAATGAGTAGTAGGCCTTTTAAGTGAAACTGGAGCCAAGTGTAGATACAGGTGACTTGGACCTCCCATTTTTGATCATGAGAAATACAGCGGAGCTGCACTAAGGAAGCTGCCAATTACCTGGTGTGAAATGCCACTGATTTAGTACTATTCAGTAGGCAAAAAATCTGGGGATTTATTCTTGCGTCAAGTAATTATTTTTTTTTATTTTTAATCGCAGCTAGATAATCCTATTATACTTACAGGATAAATTTAAGATCTGATCATGAATAGATCAGCACTTTATACCTAAGCAATTTGTGGTCTTACAGTAGTGCCTTTAAGCTATATACCCATATTCTTCTTGCTCAAAAACTGAAGGGCCAAGTCTTTAGCGTTCATAATTGTAACTGGAGGTGCTCTGTTAATATCTCCTCACTTGTTTTTGAGATGATCAACAATACAAAGACAGTACATGAATTTATCGCTTAAACTGGTCCAACTGGATTGCTGCTCTTTTAGGAGAGGTTCCAAATATTCTCTTAGGGACTTTTCCGTGGGGATGAGGTCTCCATGCTTTTTTATAAAAACTCCTAAATAAGTTTGAGCGATTTCAAAATCAGTTCGACTTTTGAACATGTAATTTATGAGTAGTAAAAATTGAAGCATTAACCTGATAGAACCACCACCCTCTGGTGCTAAATTACTGATTTCCAGGTCTACTGCTGAAGGACTATAACTTTTTAATTTCTCTACTGCTGGTTGAAAATCTTCTGAATCCTCAGACTCTGCTAGGAGTTTACCGAATACAGTGGAATTTTTTTGCCATGGGCCTAACCTTTCGGCTTTCGGCAAATTCCTATAGTCACTGAGATCAAATTGTAAATCTACCGTTGGTAAAGTTGGTAGGAAGAATGGAGCCTCTGCAGGAGCTTTTGGTGGTTCTTTGGGCTTATTTCGTTTCTTAATGATGTCTAGGTCTAATAAGTTTTGCCACCTTGAACTAGCTAAATCTGAGAGAGTTATCAGATGAGAAATTTGATCAGGAGACTGATACTCATCATCTGGGGAGTTCTCTTCATCAAGAATATCAGGATCGATCACTCCCGGTACGGGTAGGCCAACAGTGGGAACAGCATCAATATTAAAAATAGGTCGTAAAGTGACATGAGAGAAGAGAGTGCGATTGGCCCACAAGAAAATACCAAGGAAATCTACATGCGTAGTTGCCAAATATTCTCCTGTGGGTGACATGGTTAAAGATGTACAGGCTGCATCAACCTAGAATGAGAGAAAAATCAAAGAAAAAAAATTAGAGGGACAATTATAATAAATAAATATGCCAAGTCCGTCAGATTTACAAGGGTTCTTCAAAGAGGAACCCTTATTAAAGTGTAACTCTTGATTGGCTAAGATTGAGGTTTGATATCAGTTGCAGGTAAAAGGAGAGGCAAAAATGCACGAAAACTCATTTGCAGTTTTGTTATATGTAATTCTTTTTAGGTTCAAAATATTTATGAGAGAGGAAGAGAGCTCTTGCACTTTCTCAAAATTGAATTTTTTATATGCATGCATTTTCTAAGAGAGCATTTAACATAAAGCACTGGCATGGTTGACTTTGAAGAACTAGCCACAACATGATCCTCAATAAATTAGAAAAAAGAATCAGATTTAAGTTTTAGGAAAGTGGATGATAAATGTAAATATTACGATTTCTTACTTGAAAACAATCAACCAGGTGACCTGAAGGAACATCCCAAACACAGATTTTTGTGTCCATTGCAGAGGAGATCAACCATCTTGAGTCTGGACTGAAGCAAGCATCTGTGATTTGACCATGATGCCCTGTGAATTTCCTCACAATTGTTCTGGATTCAACATCCAAAACAGACAGGGTAAAGTCCTCATGAGCAACTGCTAGAAGTGAATTTTCACCATGGCATCGGAAAAACATGACATTTTCCAGGTTTTTCAGTTGAGTGATTGGTTTAGAAGCTGTTAATGAAAAAATAATACCTAGATTATTAGGGGGATGAGGTTAAAAATGAAAAACCTGATATTTGGTTGGTATCAGGTTTCTCAAGCAAAAGCTCATATTTTTAATACCAAAAAAAAAAAAAAAAAAAAAAAAAAAAAAAAAAACGGAGATCAAGCACTTAAAAGGGCTTTTAAACACTTATTTGCAAGTTCTACTTGAGCACTCCCGGAATTTTACTGCAAAAACATTTATCTTTCCAGAATTAGGATGAGAAGTTGGCGTCCACACCGCGCACTTTTTGAAACAATGGATTTACAAACAATACCTTGAAAATAGTCTTAAGAAAAAAAAATAAAAAAAAAAAAAAAAAAAAAAAAAAAAAAAAAAAAAAAAAAAATAGTAAAAAAAATAAATAGATAAATAAATAAATAAATAAGAAAAATGAGAAAAAAAAATAATTATGAAACAACAAGGGAAAATTAAAGAGGACCCTGTAGTGTACAAAAAACCCAAAGTTTGAAGCCATACCTCAAAATAAAAAAATTGATACATCTCATGGATAATAATAAACATGATTAGGCTATAAGTTCAGCGAAAAATGAAAATAAAAGTATCACCAATTAAGCCATCACTATTAAACACCCGACTGTTGGGTTAAAAGTAAAACATGTGATAAATGGATGGCTATTTATTTGAATTTTAGCCTTACAGAATCTATAGAGGATACAAATTTTGAGTTATTTACTTACCTGAAGTTTTAAAATTCCAGAATTTGATAGTACCATCACAACTCCCAGAGATGACGGTTTGATTTAACATATCAACAGCTACACCTGTAACAGCTCCTTGATGAGCTGGACTTCCATAGGTTGTTCGGTGAATACCAGACTGAATGTTGAATCTTTCTACTTGACCTTTGCTGTATCCAATGACCGCAAAATTTCCACAATGAGTGATGAATATACTTGTGGCTTTCACCGTCTTCTCATATTTCAGGGAGTCAGGTAAAAGTTTCAGGTCACTCATTTTAAGTTTATCATAGGACCAAAGGGTCACAATTGGTAGACCTCGATGGATGGCTGCGACATCATCCCATTCTTTTTCACGAGTTGTTTCACTGGTAAATTGGACAATTGGAGGCATAATAAGCTCTTCCGCTTCGATTGATTTTTTCAATTTTTTTGATAGTTTACGATTGTAAGATGCTTTACCTAAGCTCTTATTAAAGGTCTGGTTGAAGATATGAAAAATCCTCAGTGTTGAATCAGAGCCTGCACTTATTATATTGTGTCCCAAATTGCCATGGAAACGGATAAAAGTAGGAGGACTGCTATGACCTTCTCGTATTCTTAGAAGGCGTGCACCACCATCAGGCATGTCAAAAATCCACAGTTTCAAAGTATTATCTGGGGACGATGTAACCATCAAAGGTTCATTTGGGAGGCACTTTACAGTTGCGACAGATCCACTGTGTGCCGATAAAAGTTGACCAGCTACTCTGCGTTCCTCAATGTTCCAAAATACTACATGACCAGCTAGTGAGCCAGTTGCCATAATGGGTGTGTCATCTGTTCGGAATGATATCGCTGTTACTAGACCCCAATCTTGAGTAAATTCAGTCAGTGACTCGTCGAACTTTAAATTATGTAATATTATTTTCCCATTGGCTAAACCAATAGCTATGACATCAACAGCCGGTGCTTGCTCCAATACAGTTATGCTCGACTTCCAGCCGGTGAATGTGTAGATTAGAGTTGATGTCTTGATATTCCATAACTGCATCTCACCTTGTTCACTCCCCAGCAAAATTTTATTAAGATATGTATCAGGGTGACAAAGGGCAGTTATTTGGAAGGAGGAATTGGAAAAAGTTAACTCTAGATAAATGTCACCTGAGGCTACATCCCAAACTTTCAAATTACTTTCTTCATCCACAGATATCAAGTGGTTGCCAAATGGTAATAGTAAATAAACCGGTTTACTATGCCCTTTATAGGTGTGGTGCAGCTCAGTGCCTCTTTTCCAAGCTCTGACTGTGCACCCATCTGCGGTAAAAATATTAAATTTGCTACCTGCAATACAAGTGATTTCTTCATCATGTTGACCACTGACAGTTAATAATGAAAAATGTGAGCATCCATAAGTGTGAAACGCTTTACCGACACAGGTTGAAATTAAGTGTTCTTTCCGTCTTTGGATGTAGCGTACTGTTGCAGGAATATGATTGGACACGTAGCCAAGAGCTCTGTCTCTATTGAATATACGAGACATCTTCCTATTCAAATGGTATGCATGGCAGAAAAATTACGAAGTTTTACGAATGACTTATTTGGCTGACCTGAAACATTATAAGAGATGCAAAATTAGAAAAAGCAAAAGACAGTTTAAGTTTTTTTCTTTCTTGCAATTATTGAAAAAAAGATACAACTAAGATGAGCTATGCTGGGTGAGTGGCTAATATTTAAAATTACGAACAGTCCCTTTCATGCCTGTGAAGTTTTGAGGTGATTCTACTGGCTTCATAAGAGGCTATGACCAATACTGTGATAGATAAAGAATTTCTAAATTTTTCAAGTCACTTCTTAAAAATTCCTAGCGGTCAAATTATTCATCGGTACTTGTTTTGGGAATTAATATTTAAAAATTGATATTGCAAAGATGCCTAGTCTGGCATAGCACTCCAGGTGGAAATGGCAAAAACAACATGGGAGGAGGGGGAAACTAGAATATTTGATCAGGCTGTGCTTCTGGAGTTACACTGAACTATTTCCTGATTTAATTTATGTTCATTCACGTCCGGTGTGCTATAGAATGATACGATCATATGGGAGTTCTGAAACATTAAAATACTATTTAGAAATGATCAATTAGTGGTATAAGATTGAAATCTGACTTTCCTGATTGGTGTGAACGTCTTTTGATGATAAGTTGGTTTTGTTAGTACAAGTTACCTAAAGGTAGCACCAAAAAAGTTGAGATAAGAGCAGGAACGGAAATGCAGCCTTGTAATCTAATTGGTCTTATCAATTTCTTCTAAAGTAAATGAAAAACCTCAGAGTGTTGTTGTAGAACATTGGACTTTCATAATTGGTATTTGCTTGAATTCAGTAATTTGATTTGAATTACAGCTTTTTCAATCATCTGTAACCAAGCTACTGACAAAGGGAGTGAAATAAGTGTCATTCATAATGAGTATGAGAGTTGGTTAGGGAATAGTAGGAACATCATATTCCTTTATAGCTGCAAATGGCCACTCCTTATAGATATCAATTTTTTACCCAAGTGGCTTGCCTCTCATAAATGCTATCTGGCAAAGTACCTTACTGGTTCCCAGTCAAGCTGAGAACATCCACTGCCAGTGGGAGTTACCAACCGTCCTCAGAGGCACAACTCTTTGGGGTCAAAAAGTCGGTAAGCTCAGAAGTGGACAGTCATTGACTACTGAGGAAAAATGTGATTTCCCTAATTTTCCTCACTCTACCTGTGATTGACTGAACCATGCATTGAAAGCAACATGGTTATCTTCTATTGTACCCCGATTTACTATCATTTTCCCAGATGTAGCAGTTTCCGAGTTGAAAATATTTCTTGCCACTAAGCACAGAAGGCATAGTCTTGTCGTGACCTGCAACGTCAAAACTGCTGAGATTCTTTACATGATAAACCTTTCAACAGTTTGACCACACCAAAAAACTGGGATAACGAATCATCTTCAGTGACGTTTAGTAATTAAGTCCCTCAGCAGCAAGGTAGCATACTTTCATTACCGTACCATTTGGCATGGATTTGTAGAGTCTTAGTTTTAGTAGGGCTACAGAGGGAAGGATAGGACATATTCGGCACAACCTATCTGTGTTCATGCTCAGACTGAATTCCAAAGCAACAATAGTGGATGATCGGAGAAAAATGCATTCCCTTGCTTGGATGTAGGTGAAAGTAAAAACTTACCAGAGTTGGTGGTGCGGATAGCAGGAGAAGGTACTTCATTGAAAATATGAAATGTCACCAAAAATGCTAGGATAAATAATTATTGATAAACATAATATAATAATGAATTTGACATGAGAGAAACACGTGTAGTCTTCTTGGCACGGGGCGATCAACATAACCTTACAAAACATGTCAACAATGATGGAAGATGATTTCGGGCGGTCATCTGCCATCAATATTGACGTTTTTTGATGTTCATCGGAAGCCCACCCCTCCCTCGACCACAATTCACCACATTCACTACTGATAACCACTAACCAGATAGTGCGTTCAAATTGTGTTTTTGAATTTTAAGTGAATAGTTGATCTTGTAGTTTGTAGTACTGATTTTATCCTTCACATTTAGTTGTATAATTTCCTATCCAAGTTCTTTTCATCTGGTCAAATTTTGTAACTCGAAATCAAATTCACTATCGTGGAGCCATCATTTTAAGTGTAATCGAAACATCAGCTCTCACCAAGAAAATTTCCTGACGAACGACTACCATCCAATGATTCCAGTAACTGTTTCAACAAATATCAGTCTGTGACAGGGCTCCAGTTTGCCCGTCATCAGTGATTAACTCTGCTCTCATGCCTACTACCTGTGTCGCTGTCCAATGTACGCACAACGGTCGAAACTGCAAGTTAAAAAAATTCCCTACGGAAGAGTCCAGAGCAAAATTATGGGACCACCTCCTTAGGAGAGCTAATTTCACTAGGAAAGATTTTCATCGCATATGTGCGGTTAGTATAGTATTATTTATCTTAAGTTAAGGTGATTAGTCGAGCTCATATGACATGGTTGAACTGACAAGCAATATATCGCATCAATAAGGTCTAAAATCTTGGCATATTTTTAATTTTTAGCCAAGGAAGGGACTATAAGCCCTGTGCATGAGCTTAAAGACTCATTCAAAACCAAAACATGGGGAAAATTCTGAGAAAAGCAGAATAGTGTTAGGGATAAACCTCGCATTCGATACCGAAATCGATAGCTGTATCGAATGCGAGGTTTTTTTCGTAATAGGAAAACGATTGAGTCAGTATGAAGTTAGCTCAGTCAGTTTGAATTATACCTCATATTAATAGGAATTTAAAATACTCTCTTAGAACAAGCAGTCAAAATTGTTGTGTTTGCTCTAAATGAGGGGCTTGGAGGACAAGGCGCTAAAGTGTAGTTTTTAAAAAAATTGAGATACTAATGATTTAAAGTAAAACTAGCTTTAGTGCATACTCCGTGAAAAATTTGCTCCCGAATTTCAGTTTTTAAGCATCAAAAAGTCAGTTTAAACTTTCTTTCCGCCATAAGGATCCATGTAATCTTGAAACCTCAAACACGAATTTCCCGAGTTAGCAAAAACTGCATTTATGCACCTTGTCCTCCAAGCCCCTCAAATAGAATTTTGCCTTCTAATTAGACAGTTTTTTCCAGCCTCCTTGTCTGCGCCAAGCTTGCTGTCAATATCTTGAAATGAAATGATAAGCAAGGAAGATAGTATTCTAAATTGCCTTTTTTCTTTTACAGTGCCACTTTGACAAAAACCAGTTTGATAAATTAAATGGCAGATTAAAGAAGACTGCTATTCCTACAATTTTTCCCACTCATAAGATAACAGCCTTCACAGAAGGTGATGGTCCAGATTCTTTTGTAAGTACACGAATGCTAATTATTCATATTCCCATCTGTTCATCGTTCTTTAAACAATTTTTTTAAGAATAAAAAGTCCCTGAACGTGTTGGAATCAAATATTCAATCCATCCCTACGAAAATACTAACTGAATGTCCAAATAGACTAAGTATGGTAGGAATGAAAGTGCTTTCATGTTTCCCATTCTTTCTAATAATTGAATTTTTTTTATTATATTTGACCTTACTGTTTTCATTACTTTTCCCTTAGTTAGCGTAGAAATGCAGAAAGTTCTTGGCCTTCCCATTTGAAAAACTTTTTTTTATAAAAAATTTAAAATTGACCTTTCTAAGTCAAATGACCTCTCTATGGCTCTGAATGCAGAAGTTGTTGCTATTTTGCAATAGAAACAAGATTTTACCGTCTTCTCATTTTAAAAACCCATTTTTAAGCTTCGCCATTTTCGCCTCCAGCCAATTGCAACCTGCCCGGTCAATTTGTGAAGAAGTTGTTGTACCCTTGGAAGTAAATGTATCTTTTCCCAAATTGTGTCATCATACAAGTATTTTTTGTAGTGGAGTCTTGTAAAATGAAGATACCCCTAGGTGGAAACTCAAATTGTTCAGTACAAAGAAAAAGCTCATTTGGGGTAAAAAATTTTGATTCTCGTCTTTCGATTCCAAACAATTCCTATTACTATCATGAAAATTGGGTCAGAGTTTCAAGCCGTAAATCAGATCATTCATGAGGTCATGAGTGTTAAAACTGAATCATTTCAAGGAGTGATAACAGTGCAGCCCGAAACTTTCGGAGCATTTTTCTTAAGCATCTATCGATCCAAATAACAATGACAACCAAGTATGTATCCTTAAATATTTTGTTTTTCTTTCAGGAATACAATTATGAAGACATCATCCCAGTTCCACCACCTGCCATAGCAAAATCTTTTAATATAAGTGGAAATATATCAATAAAACCACCATTAAAATTTATACTTCCTAAAAGTGTTGAGACTCCTCAAAACTTACTATCAAACACCTCACCTCTTGGATCAACTTTTTCATTGGATGGAGTCAAGTTCATTTCGTCTCCTGTGTTAGGAGACATTGAATGTCTCACCGAAATTGAAATCCCTCAACCCATTGATCAGGATCTGTGTGTACCAAAACCAACCTTCATATTACCTAAACCAGACTCTGAGCAACTGTCTGCATTATCAGCAACAACTGAAGAGTCAGATGCTTCTTATGTGATAAACCCATGCAAAGAATCAGATTCTTCTCAGTCTGAAAACGTAAGTTCTTAATTTTTTTCATTTACTAATTACCTAATCTAATTCTTGTGTTCATCATCTTAAAATTCATTTTGTTAACTGGACCACTATACAAGGAAACATGTATCAGAATGCTTCAATTCGCATCATGTCAAGTGGTCCATTAAATTTAATTTACACAATTTTAATTTGGCCTCTATTTTGAAATGGAAACGGAGAAAAACCAACAAATCTTGCTTGCTTTTATATTTCCTTATACTGTTTTAACAAATTCAGCACAAAGAAGGAATCCTATTTGAAAAAGTAAATAAGAGCAACTTGTTTTCTCTCACAGAGACCCCCAAAATCTACACTTACAGGGAAAGCACAAAGGACAAATGAGGGGCTTGGAGGAAAAGGTGTACAAGTGCAGTTTTTGAACAAATTGAGATATGATTTCAAGTAACACTAGTCTTACTGCTCCCAAAAAATTCGCTCCCAAATTCCAATTTTTAAGCATCAAAAAGTCAGTTTGAACTTTCTTTCCGCCAAAAGGATCCAGACAATGGATCTGTTGCAAACTTTTGCTAGAGCAAAACTAAGAGTTGTTTTTATCAGTAAATGTCTCAAAAATCATGATAAGCGCATTAGCAAATTTTGAAATGCACTCCCAACTTCACAATCTGCGTAAGAAATTTGCGTACTTTTGAGCCTCCCGCTTCAAAAATGATACTATGGCACAGGCGAGCATTTTGTTAGAGGTGTCATTCTATCCAACCCCTGTGTACCAGGATACTACACAATATTCAACATGGGCGACACCATTCTGCCAAAACATATGTGCCTGGACAAAATTCTAATCATTTTTTAACAACCCAGAGTGTTTACATTCACAATTTCTTCGTGTTGATGAAGGCCCGCTTTGGTTGACCTTGTGCTCCCGATTGCGATTTGCGCGCGGAAGCGTTGGCTATTTTGGGTATTGCCGTTGCGGAAGGGTTGAGTGGGAAAAACTCCTCTAACAAAATGTTCACCTGCACCATAGTATCGTTTTTGAAGCGGGAAGTTCAAAAATACGCAAATTTCTTCGGCAGATTGTGAAGTGAGGAGTACATTTCAAACTTTTTCAATGCACTCATCGAGATTTTTGAGACATTCAATGATGGACACAACTCTTATTTTTGCTCTAGCAAAAGTTTGCAACAGGCTCATTTCTAAATTTCAAACTTGTATTTCTCGAAATAGCAAAAACTGCACCTATGCACCTTGTCCTCCGAGCCCCTCAGGTGTATTTTTTGATCATTTAGCAAGTACATTAAACTCGGCGTTTAAAAAACAAAAAAAACAAACAAAAAAAAAAAAAAACAAAACAAAAAACTTGGACAAAAAGTTTGTCAAAACTTGAGGGCGTCCGCGATTGAAATCAGCTTTGCTCTCATCATTTCTTATATTCCATTTTCATCAATTTTATTTTAAACAGATCAGAAGCTGTTCAAATTCCAGCAGTGCTTCATCATTATCTCTTTAGGTTTTGAATTTTTTTTCCAGCACCCGAGGAGTGAGAGCGATGAAACCAGGTCTGATGAAATCGAAGCCCTCAGGAAAGAAAGAGATAATCTCAGAAGAGAGCTGTATCGCTTGAGGAAGAAGATGACCGAATATACAAAAATGTTGCACAACTTCAGTGATGATGAACGAGCCTGCCTGAGCGGAAAGAAAGTTAGACAATGGTCTGAAGAAACTTACAATAAGTGTTTGGAAATAAGGTTAGCTGTTGGCAAAAAAGGATATGACTTTCTACTGAAAAAAGGTTATCCACTAGTTTCCTATGCCTCCTTGTGTAGATTTATTCAAAAACTAGCTGAGAAAAAGGAACTTTCTCAAAGTGTTGCTGCTGATCTAGCAGAAGAAACCTCCTCAATACCAAACTCACCTAGTTCCTCATCTCCGGATGATGATAGTGATGAATATGAAGAAATTATCATGTAGCATGCGTATCTTGCCACCAATTTCTATTTTTTGTGGAAGTTTTTCATCGCCGACTGGTGGATAATATGAACAGTATTAGTGGTTATACACTTCATTGCAAATTAAGTGTGATTTAGTGCAGCAAAATACCCAGAATACTGGTTATTCTGATTATTACTGTGGTAATGTCCTGCTTTCTAAAGTGACCTCTGCTACTAAACTCAATTGGTTCACTTGTACACTTCTGCCGTGTCGTAGTTGTTAACAGTTACGCAAGTTGTCACTCTACATTCGCCCAACTCATCACTTACATTTTTTACCATCATTGTTAAAAACCAGACGAGAATCTTTTGAGACTCATTTGAGTAATCTTATTATCCGGAAACTTTTAAAGACTATTCATGTGATGGAATTACCTTCATCATGACATCCAGAAATGTTGGTTCAGTTCTCATTTTCAGTTGAGAAACTACCTACCCATTCTATGAGAAAGTTTTATCAAAGAAAATTAGAGGAAATTAAATGAAATTTTGACAAAATGAGATTGAGCATTCTTAAAAAATTGATCGAAAATCTTACGAAGACATCTTAGTTATAGTTGGCACTTGTGTAAATGAAAATATAGAAAAAGTGATGTGTTTTTACTTTTTAACACACACCTGCCTCTCAGTGAATAATCCAAACGGACTCCTTTGGAGCAGTTTCATTCTTCAATGTGTAAAGAATGAATATAAATTTGTTGTTTTGAGAGATAATGTGAAATGATGCAACTATTTCTTTTTATTTATTGAGATAGCTTTCATCAGTCCAAGTGTGAAAAATTAGGGTGGCGAAGTAGCGCCTTAGTTTATGTCCTTTTTCAAAGACTGATTAAGATATATATTATTCACTCAGATGAAAGAGAGCCAGGAATTGGAAGCTGCGCTTACTTGAGGAATATATTGAGTGTATTCAACTGTTTTTATTGATTTGTCACTCACAACAATTACTGTAATAAATTAATTTTTACCAATAAATGTTTTCAAACAGTGATGGCTTTTTTTTTTTTCTTAAAAGAAAAAGAGAAAAAGAAAAATTCCCCTAAATTTTCGAATTCTTTAAGACTTGAATTACTCTGGCAGAAGCGTTATTCAAACCAATGGACTATTCAATACAAGTTCTATGGTTCTATTGGTAAATGGTATGACTTTCTGATTTTAAATTTGCAGCTCCTGAAATAAACAGCTTGTTATTTTATTTGTAAAACCAGACCAAGATACTGGTGGAAGCAGTGCTGGATTATCAGGGTGGAGGGGGCTCTCTCTGCAAATCTTACAATACCTAATTTAAAAGAAAAATAATAATATTTTAAATTACACTTCCTAGTGGATTATAATTATTATCATACTGACAAACCATCGTACAGCTAGTGATGCCTCAGCAACGTTGCACTTTCTTTAAGTAATAGGTAATTTTCATTATTCAGAGGCTCAGTATTTGTAGAGATTATAATGACTGTGTGATCCCTTACAATTTGCGGTCAATCAGTGCTAAATATTTCATTCTATCAAATCAGCAGACCTACCTACTGCAACGTTAAAAAACTACTTGTCCTCAAAATATTGGTTGGATGTAGCTCTGAATTAGTTTTCTATTAATTTGTTTTATTAATTTTTTATTGAGAATAAATGAGCTAAAAATGTATGTGTGCTTAGTACCTGCCCACTAATGTTTTTTTTCCATGCTCTCCAATTTTAGAACAAATCGTTTCACTCAAATTCTAATTTCCCGGTGCGTTAAAACTTTGCAATGCAGCCAACTCTTGATTATTAGCACTCCAGATGATGCTTGTGGTGCATCGAGCAAAGGCTAGAGTCCCGCAAAGGCCTATCGTTTACCTCATTATAAAGTTGGTTTTCAAAACTTCTATTTTACAAAAAAAATTAATGACCATTTCATTGATTATCTTACACAAATTTAATCTCCCTCTCCCAGAGTTCATTCTTTTCTAGTGTTATTGAATTCTTGTGCTTTTTGGTTTCCCTGGAGATCAGCCTTTGTTGTTGTCAACAAGGAAACATAACCTAACTTTTAAATCGTTCTGGAAGTTCTCCTGGACTATCAAATTGGTTTACACGTGCGAATTTAAAGTTATCGGGGCCTAAATCGAAATTTTTTTATTTTTCAAGTGCTTTAAAGTGTATCACTAAGCTTTCGAGATGCCTGACAAAACTGAAGCGTACGATGCTATTTTGTTAAATCTTGCACAGCAACATGAGGGAGGCATTAGTGACTTATTAGATACCCTGTTCAGTTTTCTCGCCAGGAAGACCGATTTCTATGTAGGAGGTGGAAAGAATGCTGCATTTGATATGGTCAAGGAGAAATTTACCAAGTATGAAACTCAAGCATTAAATGAGGAGAAGAAGAAGAAGGCAGCTGCTGAGGAGAACGAACGCAAGCGGAAAGAACGTCTTGAAGCTCAGAGACAGCAGGAAGAAAGAGATGAAATGCTAAGACAGAAAGCATTCTCTGGCGGTGATATTCAAGGAGGTTCTATCAAGGAATTGACCGATGAAGAAGCTGAAAAATTGCAGGCTGAACTAGACAAGAAGAAATCTCCTGAACCTGTTGAAGCGGAAACCACTGCAGCCAAAAATGAAGAAGAAGATCCAGACGATAAGGGTAAACTGGCTCCTAATGCAGGTAATGGTTGTGATTTACCTAATTACTCTTGGACCCAAACACTATCAGAGATTGAGTTAAGGGTGCCTTTCAAGGTTCCATTCAAACTCAAAACAAGAGATCTCATCGTCAAAATACAAAAGCGTCACCTTGAAGTTGGTATCAAAGGACAGCCCCCTGTCATCAATGGTGAACTAGAATGTGAAATCAAATTAGAAGAGTCTACATGGGTGTTAGAGGATAAGAATGTAGTTCTCGTAAGTCTAGAGAAAGTGAACAAAATGAACTGGTGGTCTAGGTTAGTTACAACTGATCCTCAAATTTCTACCAAGAAAGTAAATCCAGAACCTTCAAAGCTTTCTGATTTAGATGGTGAGACACGAGGTCTTGTGGAAAAAATGATGTATGATCAAAGGCAGAAAGAATTAGGGTTGCCAACTTCTGAAGAGCAAAAGAAGCAGGAAGTGATGAAAAAATTTATGGAGCAACATCCAGAAATGGACTTTTCCAAATGTAAATTCAACTAGTCAGGGCTTCTTTCACTAACAGACGACTGTCATCCACTTCTAATTACTGCTCTTGCCACTCATGTTATTAGAGGTGTGATGAGTCATTGCTCCAATATTGTCTCTGAAGCTTTCAAGAAATACTGCCGAATTCTTTTCCAAGGCAATTTTTTCTGAACCTTTTTCATTCTGCTAAGCGTCTTTAATGGGAAGCAAATGATTTTTGCCCAATAGACTTATCACTGTAACACATTCTTATTCTCTAAGATTAAAACCAGTGTTGCAATTGTATTATCAAAAATCAAGGTAGCCATCAGGTTAATCTGTTACCTACCGACTTTTTCTGAAACTAAAATAAGCGTACCGTATAATTGCTGCGTAATTGATTCTTGAAAATATAACTTTTTATTTCCAAAAACATGTGATATGTAAAAGTGGGATTGAGTACTTACCCTCTTTGGCGTATCTTCATTGTGTCTCCTCAAGAAATGCCTTCAGTGTCCATGTAGTGTAAAAGTTGCAGTTGCAACTTTTCCATGTATTACGAAACAGGCTGAGTGATGTTATGCTCAATGTTGTTACCATTTACAACCCTATAATATAAGAGGGAACAAAAAGTTCTGCAAGATATGGTAACAAGGCCCAGATTCTGAAACTCATTTAACTTTCCAGTAATGCAGAAGTCCGGGGAGATTTGAAACTCTCGAATATTTTTAGTTTTTCCCCGAAAAATCATGAAGTTTTGTTGTGAGGACATTCTGAACCATTGCTAATTTTGTTCAAGCAACAGCAAAAACAATGCTTAAGATGAGTCAAGTGATTTGTTTGTAAGTCTACCAAATGTTTATCCTTTGGATGACCAACAAACCAAATTTCTACGTCAGAACTTCATAGATTTACTATCTGTCACTGCTCATTTTGGAATTTTGACAGATGGTTTGTAATAAGCTCACCTCTATGACAATTATTTATTTTTGAATGAGTATTGATTATTTTTACCTTATATTTTCTTCACTTTAAAATTGTAAATTATTTCACTGTAACTTTGCCTTTTTTTTTCTTCCTTTTTTGTATAAAGCAAGGAATTTATTTGGTCTTATGAAGTTTCTCAATATTTTTTAGCATTGCTTTAAAAAGAAAATTTTTGACTCCATTTTTTGAGTGAGCACAGTGGCACAGTTGTTCTTGAGAATTGAGCTTGTGAAACATGCATTTCTAACATGAATTTCTTTCCGTACTTCTTTTGTACATCATAATTAATATTCCGTGTTTCTTGTGTGAATGATTAACCAGGTGTAGATATGCACACCGTTCATTAAATGTCCAAGTCAGGAAATATAATTTTAAGAACAAAAAGGAGTCTATTAGAGCTAAAGCCTCCAATTCACTTCCCAGAAATTGAAATTTAGTTTTCTGTAAATGTACCAGTCGTCACCCTCATTACATTTGCTCATCAATGGGTGTTAAGCACTAAAAATAATACCTATGAAGCATTGTACCCATTATGTTATCAGATTGACTCTACGATTTTCCCATGTAAGTAAATACTGTCAGAGACCTACTCAAGTTTTACCCTTTGAGATCGTTGTAAGACTACTAAAATGTTATTTATCAAGCATTTTTGATGACTTATGGGTTTAAAATCAAGTTGCAAGGACTCTCATTTCCTCTGAATTGTTGGTAATGTGAGATAGTCCATGCATTGTTTTTTTTAAAAATGAAAAGCTCTTCTTTTTGTAATTTTTGATAATAAAAATGGAGTAGCTCTGTATTTTTCTTACGTATGTCTTTCTTTCTCATTTTGCACAGAAAAAAAAACCTTGCAACTTCTATCACAGTCTTGGGGGCCGTTCATAAAATATGTAACAGTAAATTTTCAATATTTCAACTCTCTCTTCCCCCTTGTAATGCTTTTGTGATGCAGGTCCCAATTATCATGAAAAAAAAAAAAAAAAAAAAAAAAAAAAAAAAAAAAAAAAAAAAAAAAAAAAAAAAAAANACGTCAGCAGGTCGGGTCGCCCATTGCACCCGAAAAGCCGTTTAGACGCAATATTTTTCTTAGGATGCCTTGGTTATTAATGAAACTTAAACGCGCACTACACGAGAACATGACAATTCTTTTGATATAACATTATATAGGGCTCCGATGTCTCGTATTCTCCATAGCTTTGACAGAGCGTGAAAATGGTCAAAGTGGATACTTTTTGCTATTTTAGGCACATATGCGTAATTATCTCTTTTAATAAATCATCAACCTCCTTGGAACTCAACAGTTCGTTAGACGGGACCGAGATGCATCTTTAGACACCAAAATTTCTGAAATCCGTCGCTCCGTTGCTTTGAAAAGCTTTTGGAACCGCAACTAAGAACCCAAATAAGCCAAGTTCGTGTAACTATGGTGTCGTTGCCTCGACCGGGCTGTGCTGTGCTGTGCTGTGTTGCCAATTGTTGGAGGATAGGTTACTTGCCCGGTGGTGGCTACCGCCACTCATGATATTTTATGAATTGCCCCTTATTCATTGAAACTTCATTTCAATAATTTTTTCTGGTCATTATTCGGCACTTATGGCAAAAAGGGCAGATCAACTAGGCATCAGCCTTAAGATGAACTATTAAAAAAAATTTGAATCATTTTTTGTTTTTGAAACTTAATAAAATATTTTCTGCTCGCTGACTATTTCTCCTCTAGGCAGTAATGTTTAGGTAATGATGACAGTGCGTATAACTGTTCTGAGTTAATGCTTTTTTCGAAATGAATTCAAGAATAATAGTAATCGTGAGCGTCATAACTGGAGAGTCATTAAGAGGATTATAGTTTTCTTGCAGTTTTTAGATTAAATGCTAGACAAAATTTTCACCTCACCAATAGGGTAGCTCCATTTTTGATAAGTTGTAGACAAGAAAGTCAAAATAATGAGCTGTCGCCTCATAAAAACTTAAGGAGATGGCTTAGAATCTAACAAGTGGACGTATTTAGGCAAGAAAAAACTATTTTGAAGTGGAAAGATGGGGTGTGCTCCTGCAAGCTGCTTAAGAAACAATATAAAAGTGGATATAGTTCCATTAGAGAAAATGGAAAAGCGGGATTTGACATTAAATCAATAGGAACTGAGTGCTAACTCGTGAGCCATGGACATGTCACAAGAGCCTTGAGGACAGGGCTCATGAGCTAAAGAGTCCCGCTAACGATCTCCCCGTCACATGTCTCCTCGTAGTTGCTGCTGATGTCACTGGTGCTTTTAAAGCCGCATTCATTCTCATGGCCCTAAACTAACAAGCACACCCCATCTTTCTACTTGCACATAGTTCCATTTAGTATGAATACGTCCAAGTATTCACTCAACTCCGCAAGTTTATTGAATTAGAGAGTTTCAACTCAAGTTGGAGAGGGTAAGCTCCTTGAAAGCGCAAGCTCGTTTCATATTCATTATCAATCTGGGCTCTTAAATTCTCAGATGTAAAGGTCAAAGGAAAACAGATAAACATATAAAATTAATAAATCACTTCTTCAAAAAAAAATTCACGAATTAACAAGGCATCACATCAAGTATGTAAAACAAAATCATGATAGTTGGAATACCATGAGGGTACAGTGCTCTATGTTCCATTAAACAGAAAACCTTCAGCAACAATAATTCATACTCCTCCACTACTAGTTTAAACACTAGTTTGATACAAAAAAGAGTCAACGTGTTACTGCCTCAGATCAGATTTGGCTTGAGTTCAATCCAGGCTAACTAAGGAACTAGATATAAACTTAACTTAGCTAATCAGCCTACGGCAAACATTTGTAAATTCATAGATGAGCATTTGTGAAACAAAGCAAAACAGGGGTTTCTTAACATTCATCTTGGTCATTTACAAGCTTCTTTTCTTACTTTTGGATTTGGCTCTATCAGAAATACCAAATTCATAATTATTAGCTAAAGTATCCATGAAACTTAGTCGATGGTTTGAATCGGCCGCACCAAATAAGCTGAAAGAAAATTCTGCTTCATTTTCAGAAAGGTCAATCGTTTCAACTTTTATTGAACTGGGATGCAAGAGTCTATCTTCACTCACATCTAAATGACTTTTCCTTTTTTTCTTTTTTGATTTCCCTGAATTAGCTAGACTTGAAGCAGCAGTTTCATCAGAGAATTCTGTAGGATTGTAAGAAATTTCATTAATATCAGCAGAGGCTCTAGAATGTTTTTTCTTCTTTTTAATTTTGTGGTTAGACTCATCGTTTGGATCACAGTTTGAATCATTTAGAGATCTATCACACTGATTCTCATCAGGGATAATCGGGAATCCACCATCGTCCATTTTTTTACTCCGCCTTTTACTTTTCTTTTTTGATTGATGAGACGTAACATCAGCATCTTCGAACGATGATTCTTGGGAGTCCCATTCACTTTTACAAACTACCGGTAAAATTGTTGAGTCACTCAACATTATTCCCTCGTGTCTTTTCCTCTTCTTTTTGGATAAAGAGGGCGACTCGTGGATTGGAGGATCCATATCTAGTGCCAGAGGGTCTGCAGGCTCAGTCTTAATATCTTTTTCCACGGTTTCTGATTCCACATGCTCCCTGTGCTTCTTTTTTTTCTTGCTTGTGGATACAGCTTGATAATTGTCGCTAGTGTAATCTTGATTTGTGTCTAGAGGATCAACCGGCTCTTGCTTGAATTCAGTGTCAAAATTTTCGGCACCGTTGGAAATGTTTTCTCTGTGCTTTTTCTTTTTCTTTTTTGATTTAACGAGGGACTCATCTATATTTTCTTGCACTTCGAGTGGATCTCTGGGCTCATTTTTCAATTCAAAAGATAAATCTCCCATCAAATTCGAGTCCTCTTCATCTGGAATCACTTCTTTCCTTTTCTTCTTCTTCTTTTTTGAACTTGAGTGTAGCTCCTCCGCTTGAGTTTCATTTAGTTCAATTGAGTCTCTTGGCTCATCTTTCAGTTCCAAATGTGAAGTATCCGTCTCATCTGTATTGGTTTCTTTACGTTTCTTCTTCTTTTTCTTAGAGCTAATTGGTGAGTTTCCTTCTACAGTCACAGTAGCTGCACCAGCAAATTGATCAACACATGGATTTTGAGAACTACCAGAGTAATCTTTGACAGGGGACTCACAGTTTTCTTGAGAACTAGAAACCAGATTTTCATTCTCACTTGGAGGCCATTCAGTTTTGATTTCAATATCATTTGTTAATATCTCTGCATGTTTTCGCTTTTTCTTCTTTGATTTACTATGAATTTCTGCATGTTGCGCCTGAGAGTCTGTTTGCATATCAAGCTCATCATAATGAGCCTCTGATAATGAGGTGAAACCTGAGGGTGCTGTTGTATTTGCAGAGGACAGACTTAAAAAACATTCTTGAGATGGTAGTAAGTCATACGTTGCTGCAGATGAATTCATACGTGAAGATGCATTTAGTTTTTCTGCTTCCAGTTTTTTCTGCTTCAAGCTTACACTGCGGCCTTTTGGAATATCTGAAAAAAGGTAGAAAATTAATAGGCATAAAAAAAAAACTCGAAAATTTAGAAACATCCAGCGGGCTGATTTTTTATTTTAATAGACAAAGCTATAGATAAATAGGACAAAAAGGATATGGATGGATCCTACCAATGGAAGCAGGTGGCTGCGATGGACAAAGGAGGTAGACAATGAACTAACTAACGCTAAATCATGAGAGACCCTTTTGTTAGTCTTTCATTTACCCCCTTAGTCTATAAGAACCACCCAATGACCAATACGATCGCTCCATATCCATTATGTCCTCTTCGTTTTTAGCTTTGTCAATCAACTTCAACAATCAGCCTGCAAGTGTAATTAACGGGAGGGATAAACAGTGTAATTTAGGAGTAACTTCCTGAATTTTGTTGTATCCTTGTAAAGGAGGAACAATTTGGGATTATGTTTAACATTATAATAATCAGTAGCTAATGCAGAAACTTGATTTGTTTAAAGTTTTTTTCATGTCACATTTTCCGGGAAGAAAAACTGATCAATATTCTTTGAAGAAATTTTCAGGGAATTTTTTGCATGAGGAGAATCAAAATCAAGAATTTAAAGTTGAATGATTACTTAGACTTCTTGCAAAAAATAAAAAACAAATAGTAATTTTGAAACAGCTAAATGGCATAATGAACTTTTGTCTGTAGCTGTTAGTATACAGTATAATCAGCCAAAATTTTAAAGGGGGAAAAACACTCAACGCCCTTGCAATCATCGTAAAATTCCTGCACCCCTGCTGAAGAGTGTTTTTTTGCTTAAGACAGTAAAATGAAGAAAAACACAAACATTTGAAGTCTAAAGTTATTGCACCATTATAAAAATCTTTTTGCTTACTACCTAACTGTTAATGTTTTGTAATAATGCTTTCATGGGCATTGAAAAGAAGTGCATCTATAAGCATTAAAAAAAAAGGACCACCTGATGATAGTTCAAAAATTAAAAACTCCATTACTTATGAAAGATAGTTACAATGTTGTAACTCCATGGTGGTATTTTAACAGCACTCAAGGCACAGCGATCCTATAATCGCTTCAAATTTTTGAAATCGAAAAGCCTGATACATCACGTACATACAAAAAAACACTGGTTAATTAACTTCTGAACTTACCAAGTCCTAGTAACGGATGCCGAACTTTTAAATTGCTGGGAAAGGAAATTTCCTCTGGTTGCGAGTTCCGCAGAGCTTCATAATCAATTTCTGGAACTTCCACCTGTTCCGTCAAAATCAACTTTCCCTGCAGGTTGGCAACCTCTGAAAAATTAATACACGTAATTAAAGGAGGATCAACAAGAAGATATAAACAAATTAATAAAAGCTCAAGCGTCGTTATCAACCTTGTCCGGTTGACAATTTGATTGGTAATAAACAAATGAACCCTGTAAGTATACTTTGTTAATGAAACTAACAAACCAACAAGACTGATAAATTTGTCATAAAAATATGAAAATTATTTGATATCACATTGGACCATGAGGGGTTTCATTTCAATTTGCTGTGACATGAAAGGTGAAGTTTGAGCATGCTGTTTCATCTGGGCTGACACTAATTACAGTTAGGGAGCAAAAAATGAACGTCCAAGCTTCTGTCTCCATACTTTCATCCTCCAATAAAATAACTGAATCAATTTTGGGACCAACGTTTTCAAAATCCTACTTTGAAGGAGCTATTCAACTCAATCTGGAAGGATAACACTTACTTTGGCCAGAGTGTTCGCGTACAATGAAAACAATCAAGAATATCTAGCAGAAGCGAATTTACGCCTTGCTCCTCCAAAACTACTTCTCCCTTAAGACCAAAGCATCAACTTTTTTCCTTCAACCTCTTTCCTTAAATTTTCATTTTGTCTTGAGTTTGATAAGACCTTGGTGACGCTTGAGATTCAAGTGCAGCAGCAGAGGATTGCTCCTGAGGTATATGAGGATTCTGGCGTAAAAGTGCATGACCCAAAAAAAGAACTTCCTCAAGTTGTTCCTAATCAAGTGACCACTATTTTGGCCTTGTCAAGGAACTTTTCTAAAAATTGATGTCATTCTGAGACTCTCTAATCAATAATATCACACTGTGTTTCATAGTTTCAACTGCATAGTAATTTGAGCGTCTTTAAAATAGAATAAATAAAAAAATGGAAAAGGGGAACTTACTTATTTTTAAAATTTCTTCCTCTTGACTCGGTAGAAGGAGATTAATTTTACTTGATTCAGCATTGGCGTTTACTGGATATGAGTCTAATTGTATGTTTGAACCATCGTTTTTCTTGCACTTTACTGCTGATTTTTTGGATAAATTAAAGCTGTTTCCGATCAGAAGCTCAGGGTTTACCTGCAACAAGAGCAGACAAATGAGTCCTGGTCCCTATTCTCAATCGTTATTAAACCTGTTACTTACCTATGTAGGAGTAATTAATTTTTTTAACTTTAAAAATCTACAAAGGACTCAGCAATCTCCTTAGAGATTGAGAGAAAATTTATCTCAAAGACGAGAAGACTACGGCGGTGAATATGTTTGCAAAACCTTTTCCAACGGCAGCCACTTAGAATTCCAACGAGCCCTTCTACTAACTGGTGAATTTTTAACACAAGAACTCATTTTGTTCTCTTAAAATCTGAAAATATTTTTGGTCGATAGTATTTTTGGTGGTGGTAGACTGATTACATTAGGTACATATCTTTTATATATTCTCAGGTGGCTGAAAAATCTGACAATAAAACATTCCCATTCTGTGATAAGCCTAAAAAGACAAAAAAAATTACAATGCATGAACAAACTGAGACAAAATCAATAATTTTGTTCACAGAAATTGGTAAATTTAGGGCTCTTTAAAATAAAATATGTACCTACACAGAAAAAAATAAAAGGTCAATTAATTTATAATGATGAGGAAAAAAGTGGTTTTTGAGTTTATTTGCAGAACTTTGATAGGAGTGTCTAACTCAGCCTTTTATCTGTCATATATTTGATACACATTTTTAAGTGCCGACTGATCAACTTTTAACCAAGGAGTTTTTTAAGGTCTCATTATCACTTATAAAATATAGATAGAAGGCTTAATTTTATTTCAATTTAGTTTCATTTAGAGGCTTTAATTTCACCCAATTTGGAGGAAATTTTAGTAGATATATTCCTCCAAAAATTTTAGATTTTATGGTATAAATGCCAATTAAGTAAATGCCAATGAAATGAATAGCAATTAGTGATAACAAACAGTAGGTACAAGTGCTTCACACTTATTTTTGAATACTTTTTAAAATGAAAGCAGAGTAAATTGAGGAACAACAGTAGGATGAACGTACAAATTTAGGGCATTGGATCACCCAAATCTCATCATTCTCCGTTATATCTTCATAAAGGAGAGCTGCCTCCTGTGGATCAATAAAGTACGTTTGCTCTGAGCTGTCAAGGTCCCCCTGAAAAAAAGAGGAGAAAAAATTACAATACATTTATTTTACTGTATGAATAAAGTAAAACAACGTGTAAAGATGATGGTGATATTTCCTTCCAATGATAGTTAAGACCTCCTTACCTTGAGCAAAGGCCTTTGACGTTACTTAGAGGCTATTCACTATTTTTTTAAAGTTATTTCTCGTCAGTGGAAAGAGACTTTTTAAGGACATTTATTCCTAAAAAGCTACGAGCTCACAAAAAAATTCAGTGGTGAGTTTTGACAAAAATAAAATGAAAAATGGTTTTGGTTTATTATTTCTTCACATTTAGTTTTTCGTCAATTTCTCAGTAATTTGTATTCCTCCTTCATGGATTTAGTGACATCAATTGGCGCCAAGTCTTTGTCAAGTTTAAGATCTCTGCGAATAAATTGATAATTTTGAACAACTGACACCACCCTGGACTTCTAAATTTTGATTTCACATACATTATGAAAAACAGAAAGCTTCTTTAATGAGAGTTTGGAGCTCCTTTATTAATGTTTGCCGACAATGTTTCTTAAAAGATTTACTCTTCCTGGAAAAGACAAGGCAAAATAATTCAATCATACATTACTCACCTCTGTGACTGAAGTATTATGCGGCCTGTCTCTGGTTTCTGGTACAGAGGGTTGAACGTTTGTTCCGGACGGTCCTGCAACTGGCTCTTTAGCTGACACTCTAGTTTTGTGGGATGATTCAGCCTCTTGGAATTTCCTTTTTTTCGACTTAGGTGGTTTCGGAGCAGGGGATGTTTCTTGAAGTAGGATGGTTTCTCCGGTAATTTCACAATCGGATGGAGGCCCAGTAACATCTTCTATTCTTTTCCGCTTACGACTAGACTTTTGATTACCTGTAGGCTGAGAGAGAGTGGCCTCGTCTAGTAAAATGGTCTCACCAGTAATGATGCAGCCATCATCAGGGTCAGATGAATTTTTTTGTGCTTTTTTCTTTTTACTTTTGTTCTGTTCAGCGCTTGGTGACTGAATTAATGGTTTACTATTTGCCTTACAAGATGAGGCTTGTGAAACAGATTCTGAATCCGAGCCACTTTCACTGAGATAGTGAGCTGTTGATGCACCCTTTTTCTCAGATTGTTTTGATTTCAAGGTTGTCATTTTTTATTTGCGATTTTGGCCTATCATATCTGTTGATAATTGATTTCATTAAGAGTCATACCTGTAAAAACAAAAAATTGATTACTTACAATTGTATTGAGGACTTTTTGAGAAGGATGCAAACTTTAAAAGCATACTTATTTCATCACTGTAATGAACATTATGGACCGACAAGTATGCAGTATTCTGCTTTTCCAGGCACCGAAAAAATGGAAAGGGGGGTCAAGGACATCACGGCATCTAGAAAAGTGGATGCACACCATTGATTTTTTGAAACTCGCGATCTTTAAGCAGCAGTAGTACTCTCTACACATCAATTGCAGCGTATCTCAAGAACAAGAAGATTTGCAAGCGGGATAAAGACCAAGAGCAAAACAGCATAGCGTATGAAAAAAGCTAACTTTGCTCCTAAGAAATTATAGATGGCTCTTAAAAATTAGACTTTCTGGCCAAGGAGGATAGAACACTACGAAGTAAGGAATGGCAAAAGGACTTTACTTCTGCAGTATGATAATGTTAAGTTTTTCTCACAAGCTCCAACTATACTTAGCTCAATGCAAGTGATGGCAATATTTCTTATAGGTTGATAGGGGAGCAAAAACTTTAAAACCGACAATGTGCAGGACTGCGTAAAGAAATCGGAGGGCTACAAAAAGGAGTTACCGAAGAGACCCATACGATGGGGCATAAAATTAGGTAATATCAGCAAAATTACTGATACTCGTGACAAAAAAACGAAGAAATTGAGTCAAAAATGGGAAAAATTCTAGGTAAGACAGGAGGTGAGAGGTTTTTGAATACAAATCAAAGTAAGCAATAAGTAGAGCGTTCTGCATCCCTGCACTTGGTTTGAATGGGAAAAACAGCTAACCTGAGCAGCTTAGTTCTCTTTTTAGCAGTGACTGCTAACTAGTTGGTCTGCATGAATTTCATTCTAAGCTGTCTGTGTACCCTTGTAAAGAGCAAAGAAGCTATGTACGTAAATTCAGTACACCACAGTCCTTACTTCCGAAATTTATAATTCTTCTCTAACCAAGAAATGTGCAACAGAAGCTGACTCTAATTTTCGAGCTGCTTGTTAGACTTTGAATTAGTGAAAACTGGAAAAATTCAAGGACCGACAGGACTGCGTTACCATGAATAATCTTGGCACTTGCGTATTGAGTGCTCGTGCAACAACAGCAAACATTTTGTCCAACCCTGTTACTTCGGAACAAATAATTTATTTCAAATTATAATGAAGTGATTGATTAGTTTCCTCTTGATCAGTTTGTTTAGGAAACAGAGTAGATGTACGAAAAGAAAACTGAAACTAAATGTAGCGCATGCACATGTGGCTTCATCTCCTTATCATCTACGAGGTAAGTTGATGAAGGGCAACTAATGAGAATAACACAAATGCAAAGGTAGAGTGAATTTTACCTGAAAATGTAACATAAATTTTGTAACAGATCTACCCATTTAATTATCACATTTTGGACAAGAACATTATCACACGTGACTCAGGAGCCACGAGAATGTATAATTTACACTTCACTTAAAAAACAAAACAATGAACACATAACCTCACTAATTTCGCATTCGTGTCTATGGCGCTATCTTGCGGTCCTAAGTGACACCTCGGCCAATTTAGGGACTTCCCATTGGTTCCCGCTAGGTTCCCGCCAATTCTGCGCGGCGCTCCGTAAAATATACAAATTGACGCGCCACTTTTCAAAAAAGCGGAGACTACCCTAGTTGTGCGCACACTGAAAATCGGCAATACTCGTGTGTGTAATGAACTCAGATACACTGTATGAATCTTGTTTGTTCAATTTCATTTTATACAACATGTTTCGAGCATGTGTAAGCATTTTTCACCTTGCAAAGCAAATATTCCGACTCCATTCCAGATAAGTTTTCATTTCTCGTGGCAAAACGTTCCATGTGGAGAAAATCAACGTGCATTCATCGTCATCCTCATTGCAGAGGGTTCCGCAGAAAGGATCGGAAAATTAAATCGGAATTTTCTTTTATTATTCCTCGATCGAATCAATGTCGATCGGTTCACGTTTATCTGCGGGTTGACTGTTGAATCCTTATCAAAAGACTTTCATATCGATGGATCCCCAACTTGGCGCAATGCTTTTAAATCGATCAAAGTCATTCGATATCGATTCAACAATCCAGTCCCTGTTTCGGAAGATTCTTGTCGGTCTTTTATTCATTTTATTTCTCATTTCATTTTATCTCTCATTTCATTTTCTTCCTCTTCTATCACTTTTTTTCTTCTTCTCCCTCCTCTTTTTTCTTTCCCCTCTCTGTTTCTTATATTTCTGTTCTCCATCTTTTTTCCTTTCTTTCTTCTACTTCCTCTTTTCTTCATTTTTTCTCTTTTATTCGTCTTCGTTTATCCTTCTCCTTCCTTGTCTCATTTTTTCTTCCATTTTTCTCCTTCCTTTTTCTGTTTTCTTCGTCTTCTCTTTAATTTCTTCCTCCTCTTTTTCTTAACTTCTTAGTTCTCATTTCTTCTCTCTCTTTTCTTCCTCTCTAGTTTTTTCTCCTTCCTTCCTTTTTCCTTTTTATCTTCTTCCTTTCATCCTCTTTCCTCCCTCTTTTTCCTCCTTTTTTCTTCATCTTCTTCTTCATTCTGTTTCTCCGTTATCTTTCCCTACACCTCTGCCTTATCTTTTCTCCTCTTATTTTTTTCTTCTCCTTATATTCTTCTCCTTAATTTTTCTACTTTCTCTTCCCCTCTTTTTCCTTTTTAATTCTTCTTCTCTCTCTTTTCTTCCTCCGTATCTTTTCCTCTTCTTTCTCTTTTGTAACGCTCTTTTTTTAAGTGTCCGAGCGAGCATGACATTTTACGACGATACCACTATTCGACCACGTGGGAGGGTGTGTTGCCTACACTAAAAATTGAAGGCAAACCGACATTTCTTTAAAGTAGTCTCTCCCCTGTCCCTGCCTAGTCGAGAGTTTTTTTCGTTTTTATTTCGTTTTGTCGTATGTGTTCCGATTGGACGTGGCAATTTACGACGATACTACTGTTAGACCACGTAAGAGCTCGTATTGCCTCTACTTCTAAAATTGATGGAAATTACTGGAAATTGGCCAGTCCCATCCCATCCCATCCTGTGATATGTGCATAATTTATGAGCTAGATGCGTTTTTTTTTCTTTTTCTTTTTTGAAAGAACATATGTATTAGATTGCTTAACTTTGTACACAGTCTAGTGTTCCATTAATTTGTCATTTTTCCATCCATATTTATTATAATTCAGAGTAGATGATTCTGAAGATTTGGCATCTATTAAAAAGTTCGAAACCCAGTTGCCATGAAAATTAAAATGTTCGATCATCCTCCGATACTGACCGCACATGAATGACACCGCCTGCCCCTGCCTGAATGACATAAAAATCGGTGGCCTGCTACTCTCATTTGTAAATTTCCACCCATGGCGGAAATTTCTTGAGGAAAATATACGGATCAATTACTCACCACAGCACTTCTCCTTGAGGTAAGATATCCAAATTCCACTGATTACAACTTGTTTACAAATAATTTTTTTCAGAAATTTCCTCTCATGTTTTTTTTTTTTTTTTTTAAACCAACATTTAAAGTAAAACACGATTCGTGCAAAGAAAATTACTGGTATTAGGTAACTCTTAGAAAATATATTAATGTTTCTTCACGCTTGAATTCAAATGCACCGCTCATGAAAACGCAATGGTCTATGTCAGGACAATTCTGCGAAAACTGCCCAATTTGACCTCCGAAAAACTAAAAATCCAACTTGATTATTTTGGATCGAGAGTTTTTTCCCCTAGTTCAGTATGGCATCAGGATTAAAAAAATATTACGGGTACCTTTTTTTTCATCAGGAATCCCCCCCCCTCTTTTTTTCACACATTGCGCCAAACACAGTGTGGTCGCAACGCTGGTCGGCAGGAAACGAATATTGGTGCCTACAAGAGTGCAGGAATACTTCACGCATTGCGCTTTACACATTACCGTCGCTAGTCGGCGCGAAGAGCATATTAGCGCCTATAAGAGTGCAGGAATACTTCACGCATTGCGCTAATTAACACAGTGCGGTCGCTGGTCGGCTTGAAGCGCATACGAGTCAAGGAAGAACGTCGTCGTGCCAATCTCTAGGCGTTGCCAAATTTCCTACGATAAAATACGAATTTCCTGGTATACTCATAAATATTTTCCTCCCAATTTTTTAGATAATCTTGTTCGCCATTTTACCTTAAGTTCCTAAAAATTTTAAGGAAAAATTTGCATAACTTTCCTCAAAAATACACATTTTATAAAAGGAAATTCGACAACTCTCGAATGTTCATATGACGTTCTTCCTTCTCCTGACGCAGTGTGGTACGCGATCGGACTCACGCAGAGTATTGCGTTTTTTGTGGCCAGGCGGCAATTCAAATTTCCCGTCACCAATGTAATATAAAAACGTTAATATCTCAGCCACTTATAATTTTTATCGAATTTTGAGATCGCATCTCCATTGTCACAATGAATATCGCACTCGAGTGCAGTTTCAAATCAGTATCGAATACGACATTTCTCCCCTTAAAACCCCGTGCCCGTATTACGTTGAATTTGTTTTATCAAATTTTGTAAGTGAATTCTTCGGTCTCGTGGCAACAGAAACGCGATCTCCAAATTTGATAAAAATGACAAGTGGCTAAAAACATGGAACTAAGCGATGCGATATATCGCATGTCGTTCTGACTCAAAACATGGTGTCCATTGAATCACCTTAAGCACCAGGGTTTACGCCCGACACTTGGCGTTTCAAGTTGTCGGATCGAAAAGCCCTCGGTCTTCTATTCAAACGCAGAAAATATATCGATAGAATTACACCGGATATATAGCTAGTGTATTATATCTCGCAGGGCGTCGCGTCGAGTCTAATTATGGTCTTGAGGATATTTAAGTAAAATATAGTGACGTAAATAAATATGTGAACCTAAAAAATTTCATTGAGATAGGATTTTAAAAGCTCTGATTTAACTTAGAGCGCTCTCATCTTCGAAGATACACTACGTTTTCCCACGCCGCGCCGTTAGTTTCTTTTCTTTTTACCGCTCCCGCAAAATAAATGTGTTGAGTCATGCGCTCGACAATTTTTTCTTGAAGTGTTCATGAAACGACTCTCCCGCATTCTCTTGGGTCAGGGGGTGTAGAACTACAGCCCATAGTTTTGAAGTGTAAAGTTGTAACACATTAAAAAAATCAATACCTTTTTCGGAATATTAACAATGTTTCAATAAAAATCAGTAATAGTTTACTCCATTGGCACAATGGGCGACGCTTGAATCGAGTTGAGGTGTAAGAAGAACAGGCAAAGAATCCTACGTTAGTATTGTATATGCATCGAAAACGATGCGAATTTTATTACAGCGCCTGGATGAAACTATTTGAGCTCCACGGATGTCCCTGTTGCATACGCACGCAAGTGAAGGCGTTTTGGTTCACCCGGTATCCACCATTTCACCCTCGGCTTGGCACGCCAGCAGCGGACTGTACTGCGAGAGTCCAAAATGACAGAGCGCCTCAATCTTTCGTTTATACTACCAAGACATCTACTATGCACGAATAGTTGCACACATGTGTAGGATGTAAGTATCTTATGTGGTTTGGTTTTGATATAGCAATGAGCTGAGCATAAAAGGCGCTCTGTCATTTTGGATCTTCGCAATACAGCCCGCCGCCGCGCCGCGCTGACCGCGCCGACGGAAAAACTTCAAGTGTCTGCTGTCTGGAGAGTCAAAACGCCTTCGCTTCCGATCGTATGCAACACGGGACACCCACGGAGCCCGAATAGTTGCATCCAGGCTTATAATGAAATTTGTTTAGTGTTCGTTTCATGCCGTTGAAGTAAACGATTGCTAATATTTTTCCGCAACATTGTCAATATTCCAAAAACTGCATTGACTTTTTAATTGTATTACAACGTTGCTTGACCTCAAGATCGCAAAAAAATTTAGATATCTGAGCAAGATCTACAGAGTTTTTTTAAATGTTTATTTACGGGTCGTCCTTTGTTTGAATTATCCCCTCTCTTGGGAAAATTCTTTCGACTTTTGAGTGAAATATTTTCAAAGAACAATCCTCGCAGCTAGCCCAAGGTTCCTCCCACAGACTATTAGTTAGGGCGTTAGCAATTTTTTTTTTTAAAAAATTGACTCAACTCTCTCCTCGAGTGTGCTCTCTATCAAGTTATTAGCACTCGGAAAATAATTACCTTGACATTACATTTTTTGACAGAAAATAGGAGAAACAGTACTTTCCTTGCGTACATAAACGTCACGCCATACTGCTTGTCATGCGTTGCCAACATATCTTGCTACCATTATTCAAAAAGGAAAATGATTCATAAACAGAAAAGTCATTAAACTATCAATTTCCAATTCATTTTTTTAAAGTTTATGTTGCAAATATCTCATAAAGTAATAATTGATACAGATTTCATTACCAATTCTGAACAACTTTGCATAAATAAAGACGAAATCGAATTTAAATTTAAAAGTCTATAATTAAATTAAAATTATTTCACGTTGTCTTAGGGTTAACTAACAACGATTAATTTGATACAAACTATTTACAAAAAATAAGTAAGTTATGGAAAAAGAAAAAGAAAAGGATTTAACTCCGGCATTGTCTTGAATTGAATATAGGTAGTCCTACATAAAGTGGACATCGGATAAATGGTGCAAAAAGTCACTATTTCTAGTTCATTTGAGAAAGAGCATATAGGTCCTTAGTTTCTTTGTGCAGATAGGTGCTTTTATGGATGAGCCAGAAATAGCGGTTTCGCATTGCAGCATGCAGTCCAATGCGGCCACTTAAGGTGCCTCTGAAGAACTCGGAGTAGGTACACGGGTTCTCTGATTAATCAGAGGCAATGGATATCTTTGCGAGTTTTCAACACTGGACTTTCCCCAAAACAATCGGTACATATCGAAGGAAGCCAACTCACCGAAGAATATATTACTCGTAATGGTTTAAGATAGAGAAAAACAGTGTTGCCAATTCGTGAGAATCGCCAATGCGACGAAGATAATTTTAATCTTCTCGAAGGTATCACAAAAGTGTGCTCTCTCAATTCCACTACTCGAGAGCATGCATTGAATGTTTCAGATCTGATTTAGTGTGTTGCTACTTATCTTTAGGTAAAGAATACCAAGAAAGAAATCAGAAAAATGAGAATGAACTAATGACTAAGAAAAAGGGAGCCTAAATTTCAATAACGAATTAATTTCTCCCTAATTTTTTCTTGCTGATGGTCGATACCTTCAGGAGTGCTTTTCTCTTACAAATAACATGATTATCAGAAGTCATTGTCACAAAAGCATCGGAAAATACACCAGAAGTTAGGGCCACTAATGTATTACATATGTTGCGTATCAAATATGGATGGGCAATCATTGAGAAAAATTTAGACGTCCTTTTTGTAAAATTATGTACATTCAATGGTATAAATCTAAGCAAAGAGGAGGCATCATTTTAACCGTTGCAATCAAAGGAAAATCTACATAATACATCTCTAAAGAGCCTATACATATCGCAAAATCAGCTTATGTTTTCCTCATAAGTTTTACGACAGGTCACTCGCACTTGTTGTGAAGTTTCTTGAGCCCCATTCACACTATCAAACTTTTCACTCGACATAATTGAACGAAAAGTTGGATGCAAAAAAATTTGATTTAATTACCGTTGCAGTTTGATAACGTCGCGTCATCAGCCTGCGGTTTGCGAAGATACAGCTTCGGCTCACGTCGGCCGGAAGGTTTCGTTCCACCTTCCCATTCAATTTTTCATCAAATTGTCGTTTATTCTCGTCAGTATCACACTATCCAACTCTTCATTCGACAAGTTGCATCCAAGAGTTGGATAAAAAGTTTGATAGTGTGATATGGGCTTTGGAGTAGAGCCTATTGATTTAATCGCTGACGGTTACTTTTTTTTTTGTTCGATTAAAAAAATCACAATTTTCTTGAAAGATCGTCATTTTAGCCAAATCTTAAAGGGAGAGGCAGGAGCTGTACAGAGGAAACACGACTTGTCTCAGAGAGGTTGGTTAAACTTGAAAAAATCTCTCAAAACGCCCAAACATCGATCAAACTTGACAAAAATTGCTCCGAATCAGGTCAATTTTGAGTTGTTTTGTCGTGCGAATCTAAATTTAGATGCGTTTCGCATCGCATTGACGTTGATTTTCATTCAGTTTTTAGACTCCCGTTACCATTGACTCTATGCGTAACGCCATTTTGCTTTGGGAATGGAGATTTTCCATTGAGCTCGATTTTTTCGGCTGTGCCGTTGGTGTAGACCGGTTTCTTAGTGTTGCAGTTCTTATCGACGTTATTGTTTTCTGTGTCGCTCCCTTTGCTCGGTTTTCGGCGGCTTCCGGCTTTGGAGTTGGAGTAGGCCTTCCTGTAGAAATCGCTGAAGAGCCAGAAGAAGAAGGCAGCGTTCGGCAAGACGAAGTACATGGCGAACCTCGGATATCCACAGTCGTAGATAAGCAGTTGACAGGAGTGCAAGAATGTGGCTAGGAATTGACCCTGCAACGAGAACGATTATCAGTATCATGAAATTGCAAACACTCTAGTATCGTACTGTCTAATATTTGTGACGTAGCTAAGCAAAAACTGCCGTGCTATGGAAGAACGCCGCATGAGCCCTCAGACATTTCCTCCAATAAAGCTCAAAATTACCGCAAAAATCGTGAGAATTTTTTTTTCCGAATTTTTTCATATAATTTTGTTCATACGGCGTTTTTCTTTAGCACGGTGGAAATGTGCTTTAAGGTAGGCATAGGCGGATCTAGGGAGGCGTAGGGGCGCCTCCCCCCGTTTGCCCGAAAAAAGGAGGCAGAAAGAGGGATGAAATAAAGAAGGGAGGGCGCTTCCATTTGATTATTGATCATGAAACAATTGACTCTTACTGCATATTAGATGTTTTATAATTTTAAAAACTTTCTTGGAGAACAATATAGCCTAACTCTCCTCTCGACCCCTCCTCCCCCAACACTGGAAAAAAACACATTGGATCTAGCTAGAGTCCAGACTCTTGAAAACATTGACAAGAAAAAATACTCTTGATTCAATCAGATTTAAGCTTAAATCAAAAGGAAATCTGCTCAAATTAAGAGGCTTGGTTCTTGATTCAAGCAAAAATCCGATTGAATCAAGAGTATTTTTTCTCGTCGATGTTTTTAAGAGTCAGAGATCCGATGTGTTTTTTTTGCCAGTGAAGAGCTTTATGTGAGCTTTAGATCCCCCCTCCCTCTAGTATTTTTTCAACTACTGCTACTTTTCACCCCACTGTTTTCCCTAGTCATCTACAAATCCTAGATTCGGCTCACTTCCTTCAACTTTCGCTGAACTTGATTCTTATCAGTCTGGTGATCACATTTCAGTAATGACGAGCCTTGCAACTGATCACCACATCAATTTTTGGGTTTATTGTCTCATGATTGATTAGAGACGTGAGCAAGTCTTTAAAAGCGTGGGCTGTCCAACTTTCGGGGTCTTTTGCTTTGAAATCGCCGTGCGGCCCTGACGTGACTAAAACGCCCTACGTGTAGACGTGAGGATATAGTGCGTGGCGTGTTTGTTACTTTTATCTCCCTCAACTCGGTTTTTTCGCTCATTCAGTTTTCTGACTCTGAAGAACCAATATTTCTCATTTTTAGCGTTATTCAAAGGATGTTCCTTTGTCCGATGTCGTATATCGAGTTGAAACTTCCAGACTACTTATGCCATTTGCGGTGTTTTGAAATCTCCATTGAAAAACCAACATTATTCTTTGAACTTTTCACACATTTTCTACGTGCAAAGGCAAAAAATCACGGAAAGTGTCAGATAATTTGACGTATTTCTATCAAACGGATCTATGTGCATTAAGACTTAAGCCCTGAAACCCTAAAGAATACATGCATATCAGGGCTCACATCATAATGCACATATATGTAGTTCCGTTTGACAGAAAGGCGTCCAATTGACATCGAGTTGATTTTTATTTGAGAAATAAAGCACAAAAGAGGTTTTCGACGTCTCAATGACGTCTACGTGGTTTTGGAGTTTCACCGTCGATATCCGGGGAGTCTGGAGGTCCTCGGGGAGGAAAGGGGGAGGGTCTCCTCCTGCTTCGTGAACTTGCGCTAATTTTCATATTTCATTTTATTAATTTTCGTCGGCATTGATTTCATAAAATGAAAATAATACTTACAAGTTGTAGCGTTGTGATATACTTTTTCCACCAGAGGTATGGTTGCATTTTGGGTCCGAATGCCGCTAACATGTAATACGTGTACATGATGATGTGGATGAAGGAATTCACAAGTCCAATGAACGTGCCGTGACCCCCTGGGAAATACTTGGCCGCTCCCCAAGCAATCATCGGCATGGTCGTGTGGTGGTACACGTGCAGAAAAGATACTTGGTTATCTTTCTTCCTCAGTACGAAGAATATCTGTAATCAGGCAATAATGAATGTAACGTAAAATTTTCAAGAAAATGAATTTTTTTAGCGATATTATTCAGTACACGAATATATAGCCAAAATGAGTATGGATAACTTCTTCGAAGAATATTATCCCCATTATGAAATCAGTTTTGATAAAAGAAACGCTCTTTTATCGATTAAGAAGAAAAAATTGAAATTGCCTCCTTGTTAATGAGAATCAGTCCATGTACAACATGAGCATAGAAGAACATTGTACATTATGTAATCCATAGCAACAGGAAAGTCTGAAACATATCTTTGTTATTCGTCTCATGTACAAAGATTTCAGAAACTGTTAAGATTCTGGTCATACAGACTAATGAGCGAATAATATATGTATTTAATAAGGCGAACAGGGATTGAGCATCCAAAGAAAGCAGAATCTCAACTGACAGCTACGTGACCTCAGGTCACAAACTTACAGCCTAAGATTAAAATCTACTGATAACGGGTAATTGCGTATATCTCAACAGAAACCTATTTCTTGGAAATCTATTAAAGATCTCTGGTAAAAATTGGCGATAAGAGCTACGTTTCAAAATACCATAGGAATTCTTATAGCCGGCTAAAGAAGGCTACAGAAAATCATATAGCTGCCTGTAGAATGCGGAGAAAATCATACGGCCGGGCTATACGGAGCGATAAAACAAGCAGGAAGCTCCAACGCATTCGCGTCGGAAAGCGGCTCTGGCGACGGTAGGTAGTTGTTACGCGTTTACGGTTTCCTTGGTAACCTTTGTTTGCTATCAGCTGATGTCGAGTAGTATGACTAGGAAGCTCCAACCACGGCATTCTTCGAAAAAAGCGCGAAAACTTATATATTTGAATTTTCAAATTTTAAACGTAAAGTACATTTTTTCCAGTGCGAGATTAAAGCACAGACCCGTTTTGAATTATTGACAGTATCACCATGATTCCAAAAATACACTACACAACATAGCATTCGCTCACAGGAAAAAGATATCAATTAAAATAAAATCAGTCCCCCCTAAACAGCAGAAAATGGCGCCGATTCCCATCATCAACACGCGGTCTCTCCAATGTAACATGGTCCGTTGATACTCCCCAGCTGGGACCGTCCGGAATAGCAGCTCTAGTGCAAGCACCAGAGCCGCTAAAATTATGCTGTCGGGCTATAGTTCCTATAGCCGGGCTTTACACTTTATCGCCTGGCTGTTGCTTTTTCGCCATCGATTATAAAAGGCCATAAGAAATTGTGTAGAAATTCGTGTGCTTTGGAAATCATTAAGTTTGATACGGAACCACCTTAATATTTACAAAACACACGTTACATTTTCCTTTAATACATATTTTTTTTTTCATCAATTAAAACGAGAATAATCCATTCAGGATGTGCGAACATTTCAAAGTCATGAGTTGAATAACTCTGACTCCGCCGGATTAAATATTAGAGCCTAACGCAAAGCGGAGCGGCGACGCACTGGCGCCTACAAACCTAACAGGGATACTTCACGCATTGCGCAACGCGTGAAGTATCCCTGTTAGGTTTGTAGGCGCCAATGCGCGTTTCGCGCTGGCTGCCCGCCTGCCGCACCGCAGCGTGCCTCGGCGCTTGAAGCATCTATTTCACATCAGAGGTATTGCACAGTATCATACGAAACTGAAGGCGCTCTAATATATTAGGAATGGCGGGTATCCATCAAAAGTACGGAGCTTTCCTCGCAAAATAAATCAAGATACTACGGCCCAAAAAGAAAGCAGTGGTCCAAAAACTCACTAAGTCCTAGCATCCGTAATTAGTGGCGTTTAGCATACACTTTATCGCCTGGCTGTGAGTTGCTTAATCGCCATCGGCTACAAAAGGCTATAAGGAATTGTGTAGCCGGAAAGCTATTGGAAATCTTACAGCCGGCCGTAGGTCAAATTCTGGTCTATGGTATTTTGGAACACAGATTCTACTGCCAATTTTTACCAGGGATATTAGAGATATAAAAAAATAAAAAAGGAGCATTTTATAATCATTATACTTAATAATACCAGCTTCTAAGAGGGCTCGCTCTTTTATTATTAACGATAGAAATAAACTGGTGGGCCCTTATATTCTAACCTTATAAACCAATGGCCTTTTTAAATTTTTGGCTTGTGACTTTTGTCACTTCTAAATTTTAAAATTCGGATTATTGAGGTCTCAAAAAAGATTGCTTTTACTCAGGAATGAGAGGATCATTCAGATCACTGTAATAAGGTAATTAAATAATAATTTTTTTTACATGTAAAAAGTTACAAATCACCCGGTAGTTTGTATACTCCACTGTATTGTACCTTTAGGACAATGTGTATAATTCTTGTCGGAGGAACACAATAACTAATAAAAATAATAAATTATAAAACAATGTATACTTCCTTCTCCCTATGTTGGCTCTTCCTACTCTAATGAAGGTACTTAATACTACGCTCAAAACAGTCGGAAGGTTCTTCTTGATTATCAACTTCCAGGATTTAAATTAATGAGTTTTGAATCATTAAAATTTTTGCCATATCATGAAATAAAACGATTTCATCTTAACCAGGAAAGATTCATCATGGCGGATGAACTCTCACCTTTTAAACTACGGGGTGTCCGGGATTTAGTACGCCACTCTTCGGACATGCATTATTTTTTAGGTGGAAATAAAACTTTTTAGTTCTACGAATGCTTCTCTAAAAACGCCTCTTTTTCGGCGCTAGAGCCGGTAAAAGTTGTGGATTTCCCCCCGAAATTTTCCTATGCCCCTTTTAAACGCGTCAAATACTAGTCAAAACTGATTTTTGGGTGCAATTTTCAACGTATTTTTCATTTTTTTTAGGTTCGATGGTCCACGCCTTCATTAAAACGCTACGGGCAAGATCTTCACGATAAAAATGGGTGTTCATTTTTAAAGTGGAAGTCTTGCCCACTGCCTTTCCATGAAAGCGTTGTAAACTTAAAAAAAAACAAAAAAAAGTTAAAATTTCCCTAAAAATAACCGTTCGGATCCAATTTTTACTAACCTCCGACACTTAAAATTTTTTTTGAGTGATTTTCATTCCGGAGGCAATCAATTGCGAGAGACGTCAGTGGCGTGGCGCGTGGCGTGCGATGTATCGATTGATCTGCCATTCGGAGCCATAGCAAAGAATCGATTATTAAGGTGTTCGTTGCCAACACCATGTATATCGATCCTTTATCGTATATTTAAATTGCGGATCAATAGATTTATCGCACCACGCCACGCCACTGAGATCCGTTCCACCAAGTGGAAAGGTCATTAAGGGTGTCATCGATGGGGGAAGTTCAAGAACACCAAACTTGACTCCTCTAACAAAGCTCTTAACACGAGGGTCTCTGTTTACGTTGTAATAACAGCCCGATAGTTTATGGGCCTTCCTGATTCGCGAGTAAGATGATGCTCTTACCGTGTCCAGGAGCTCGGAGATCTTTGCTAGGAAGTACATGTAGACGGCCCACGCGATTCGCATGGCTTTCGGCGTCCTTGAGAAGTCCACAGGCTCGCATCTCCAGCTGTAGTCCCTCAGCCAGGCGGCATCCAGCGCCTGCGAGGGTAGAACACACAATCATGAGGCACGACCAGGAAAGAAATTGTATACTCAAGGAAAACCTATCCCTTACACGATTCACGATTCTTATATCCCGACAACGTTCGACGATAATATTTTGAAGTTTAAATGGATAAATCACGGAGTCAGGAACAATTGTCGTCTTTAAGTTTCATGGGAAACAATTCCTCCGTGTTCATATACTCTTACTATTCATCGTGCACGGAGAAAAAAACCTCGTGCGTGGGACCCGAAGTTTAGGTCATACGGATCTCTGAAGTTTCCCGATTGAGTATCTGAACACTTTAGGTCTAGCTGTCGAGGTTCGGATCACGCATCTGAAACTTCAGTTCTTACATCCGAAAAGCTTCGGTCCTCACATCCGAAGTACTTCAGATGCAAGAACTGAAGTTTCGGATGTGTGATCCAAACCTCGACAGCTAAAGTGTTCAGATGCTAAATCCGAAAATTTCAGAGATCCATATGACCTACACTTCGGGTCCCACGCATGAGGTTTTTTTCTCCGTGTAAAATTAATTAAATGCCTTTGGGTAATATCGATTCGAAGTCGATTATTAGAAAATCGCTTTTTTGGCCCAAAAAATAGAACAAATGCATCGATTATCTATGGTCGATTTTCAAGCAGAGCTGATTTCTCGAACCGACTAGCGATTCAAATGAATACTCGATTGAAGCCGAACAATTTCGGTCTAAATTTTTGAAACGTTGACGGCAATGATGTCAACTTATCCCTGATAACCCGGGACTTAATTTAAGTTCTAAGCCTTAGGTTCGCGCCGTGGAGGTTCTTTTCCAAGTGTGGAGGAAAATGTGGATTATATTTTATTTACTTTTACGGCTTTGCAAACCTCTGCTTAATTTTGCCTTTATATATATCGACAAAATAAAAAAACCCAATGAAACTGTTTTGAAAAGAATTGTAACTAGTTTGTGATTATCGAATCGGACGCTGAATGGATTTTGCAAACGTTTCTCTTAAAAATTCTAGACAACACAGTGACAATTAGTTGAATCAAGAATAATTTTTAACAGAACAATGATCAAAATTAATTTTACCCTTCGCCCGGTTTTAAGACGAGAAAGGATACTTTCGATCTCTATGCCTCTACAAAGTAAATTAAGAGTATTTTATGGCCACACTTATGAAAAAGAAGCAAAAGAGTTTAAATATGTACTCCATGGTCACTAAAAGAGGAAAAAGGACTTACAGGGTCATCCAAAAGGCATGCACCATTTATGTAACTTTTGAAAAAAGTGAGGTAGAGACCTGTAATTTTAGGAGTGTCCTTAAATTGAATAAGGGAACTTGGGAACTACCTCTGGGACTTCTTAAAATTTTAGGGGGCCACGAAGGAGGCAACGGATAAAAAGGGCAAGGACCTTTTTTTAAATGGCAAATCCCCACTTGCGATAAATCATTTAAAGAACATGGAAAATGCGGAATATTGGTCCCCTGTATATGTATAATAGAATAGTAGAAATACATACCTCGAAAAAGATCCACACACTGACTACAACTTGTATAAAATTATAGGCTATTAAAGTTTTTGTTAATTTAAAAGGAGGTCTGTTGGCCATCCATTTTCGTCCTAAGGAGAGACAGAAGTATAAATATAATCCTAAAATTGTGAGACCGGGAACTGGACTGCCAAGGAGAGGCCAATCATTCGTCCTTTTATCTGCAACAAAACGATAAAAGAAAGAAAAATCAATGTAATAGGTTTAAATAAATTCTTCCACTAACATAGGAATCCGGCTGTAGCATTGTAAGCCGCTTTCTGATGCCCGATGTACATTTTTAGAGTTCTTGTGAGGAAGTTGATTGGCAAATTTAACTCTATGACCTCCCTTACAACGAAATCCGTAGAAGTTGTATCTACCAACAGACCATTCACCCGTATTCTCCTTTTATTGGGTGAAACTCAAATCCCTCAGGATAAAGTATCTAGATATTTAGGCCTTCACCTGGATTCCAGGCTCAAGTGGGGTACCCATATTAAAAAAAGGTGCACAAATGCGCCTAAAAATTTCAAATATGCAGTGACTCTTCGGCCGCAAATCTCGCTCGCCCCATCAAATAAATTTGCTCCTCTACAAGTCAATGTTCAGGCCGGTTTGAAGTTACGGTTGCCAACTGTCGGGCTGTGCAGCCAAATCAAAATCAAGATGGAAGTTTTACAAGTGAAAATTCTCAGAAGTATTGTTAAAACTCGCTGGTATGATAGAAATGCAGCTATTCGCGCTGATCTCAACATTGAATCAGCAAAGGAGTACATTACAAAAATGTACACCTTTTACGAGGCTCGACTCCATCGGCACCAGTGGCGTGGCTTGCTTTGCGATATATCGATTGACCTGCCATTTAAATCTATGCAAAAGGATCGATTATAATGGTGCTCGTAACGAACACCTTAATAATCGATTCTTTACTACAGCCTCAAATGGAGTAATGTCGATAATCGATTATTCACGCCTCGCCACTGATCGGCACCCTAACGCAGAAGCACTGGCTCTCTTGGAGTTAGACCAATAGAAGACGATTAAAAGATAGAAGGCCTCATGAGCTTGGAATCAATGGGCTCACAAAATGTTTCTCTCAGAAAAATAGAGCCATCAAGGTGCCTCCTCATGCTTCACGGACATGATTGGGGGTTCGTTGGACTTGGACCGGTTTCGGTCGTCCGCAGATGAGATGAAACAAAAACACATTACTAATTAGTATTCATTTGTTGTCTTCATTTCCTCCTCAATTATTAGAGGTAGTATTAATTGTTTCCTTAGCTGTAAAATTGTTATTTATAACTAAAATATAGTAGTCTTGCCTTGCTGTTAAGCGGCGGCTCATTTATGTGTAAATTTTAACTTGTGTTTTTTGTTTTTTTTTCGGCGGTTGAAAAACGGAATGTGAACCCCAAAACGTCCCGTCCAAATTATCTTTATTTACAGCCTGTACCCCGTGGTCCTCTCATTTCATTTATAACTAAATGTACCTTTAACGACTTAATTAAGCTTTTAAAAGACATGTAAAATGTCCTAAAGTGTATCATTGTACATACCTCTTTTGTGGAAATCAAAAAAAAAAAAAAAAAAAAAAAAAAATAGCAATCATAAAAAAATAACCTCTCTTAGGACCAAGAAAAACTTTTCGAATCATGTATAGCATACAAATCAATAAATGAATTTTCACTTCTCAAGGTCTTTTCTATTAAAGCAAATGAGGGAAAATTTTACTGTACGAAAATTGGTTTGTGTTTAGTGAAAAAGTGAGAGGTTCATCTAACATTTCATAGCGTGCAACCACTTTAGGGTGTGCTGGTTTAAGAGATAATAAAATACTTGATGAGTACCAGCCCAGTTCTAATTCTTATTTTAACCAAAATTAAACTGAAGAGCTTCGCGAATCATTTGTGAATTAAGATCAAGAGATCTAGTACAATTAAAGTAATTTTTCATCCGTGAAAATAAAATGCCACTTTACTATCTTTATCAAGGCACCTCATTCAAATTATCGCTCATTTGACTGTTTTGTGAATCAAACTAGAAGATATATTTACGCAATCTTCTCGATGGGGTTCAAAACGAGGCGCCGGCCTGGCTGCGAGAACCACGTGCTGATGCCCAATCGAATATGCGTTGCGTCTAATTATTCTCACTCACACATACCAAGTAACGAAGAAAGCTTGCCGCACACCGTGGAATTTTACCGGAAAATCTGACCAGACCTCCACTTTTAAAACTAGGGGAGCGAGAAAGTAAAAAAGAACAATAACGCGCGATATTCGAATGTGTACTGTTGTGGTTTCTTAAACCAATATGCGTTTTAAATGCAACTGAGTTCCCCCACGCAGAAATCGGTTTAAAATAGAGTCCCTTTATACCCAGAGTTACGACAACTCACTTTTGGTTGGGCCAGGATTGGCCTGAAAGTGGCCTAAAAAAAATCTAATTCTGATTGGTTCTCGCTCATGGAGGCCGAAACGAGTGCACCAAGATGGCGGTACCTCGAATGTGAACAAGAATAATGAAAATATTACCTAATTGTGGTTGATCAAGAGTAAATTGTTATTTCCATAGGTCCAAAATGAAAATAGATTAAGAAATTATTCACAAACCAATCTCATTTTCTTTTTAATTGATCACTTTGTTGATGTTGTTGTTTTAGTGTGACAGACATCGCAGGATTCCTGATCCTTATCCCTCAATATCGTTCGCTCGGGTGCACTCGTTTCGGCCTCCATGGCCAGCCAAGGACGGCTGCCAGTCAGCTGATAATCGAGTTGTCGTAACTCTGGGTATAAAGGGACTCTAGTTTAAAATACCCATTTTACTAAGATTAAATTAATGTAAATGGACTAATTGGTGGTTTACTTCAAGTTGGCTGTATGGAAGAAACACTCGGGGCAGATTCGAGAGGGTGATATTGATAGCTAAAGTGCTTTAGCCTTTTTTTTTAATGGACGAGCCGCAAATAGTAGTTTCTACTCAAAAATTGCGGTCCATTCCGTTTTTCGTTGAAAAAATTTAGTTTTGATAACCGTTATTTCAGGTTTCGAGAATTAAACCGCGGAAATTTGCAAAATTTGAAAGTTGAATTTCAAAGGCGGACATTTTCGAGGAGTTTTGACATCCTCAGGTGAGGTTCCTGAACATCAGACATGTATTCGCTCCAAAACCTGATAATTTGGGTCATGGCATGCTTGGTACCTAATTTTTACCAGTTGCCACTTGAATATGAGTTCTTACTTAACTTAAGCGGTCTCAGCTATTAATTAGTTTTGGCCAGGTTGTGGGGTCAAAAATTCAGTGTGCGGCAAGCAGGACTAGTGAAGTGATGTTTCGATTTTTAAATCCGAATGCATTGACCGCGCGGTGAGTCCCGGCACACCGGAAAGAATATTGTTTCCATTTAAAGACACATGCGTGGAAAGCACTTATTGTTCACTCTCCTCCTTCCTCCTTCCGTTCTCCCGGCTTCATTTTCCACGACCATTTCCACCTCTTGTTTTCTTTCCAAGTTCATTACCATGCCCGAAAACGTCGCGGTTATTTTCCTTTACAGCTTAACTGCATTCGACTCTCCTTCATGGGGTAGTAATTTGAGTGAAGAGGCCTTCACGCCCTCCGCATTTATGCCGCAATCACACGCTGAATGTGGGAGCTGAATGCGACTTGAATGTGGAAGTCATCTGCCCGATGCCTGAATTTTGCGGGACACGTGAAAAATTCAGTAACGATTTTCAGCGACCATCGGATAATGTCGGATTTTTCTGAACCATTCGAATAGATTTGATACACATCTGGATGAAAATAAATTGAATTCGCGTTTCAGCTATTGAGCGATGACTGTTGACTTCCATATTCAGCTGCCAAATTCAGCATGTGATTCCGGCATTAGGGCAGGGAAGGTAGTGTACCAGAATGTGCATTCGTTGCTTAGAAGAGAAAGAGAAGAGAGTGAGGCCTAATTAAGTTACGACTCAACATGTGACAAGTTTGAGTTGTTACCAAGAAAACTACAGATAGGGCCCTGTTTAAATATACACCTAAAAAAAAAAGAAAAAAGAAGAAGAAAAAAGGTTTACAACCATGACAAGGTGCTTCTCAGTTGAAGTCGATGTTGTTTCGCCGCGACTAAAAATGTAGTTGCAGTCAGAAATTAAACAGATTGCCGTTACAACTGAGTAGCTAATACGTTCGTCTTAAAATAAAAACAGGAGTGAAAATACATCGATCGATTGGAGTAAGCTAAGATATGATGGTCTCATGTCTGAGCACATTTAAAAAACGGGCTCAGGATAACTTACCTCCTAAGTCAAAGAAAACGAAATTCCAAAATTTAACTACAGCGTTTTGTTCAACTACAGTGTTGTTTTCGGAAGACGACATGGTGCTTGGGTAAGTTTGTATTTACAATGAGTAGGACCTGAAACATACAGAAAACGAAACATACCTTAGTTTAGTGTAATTTAGTTTAGCATCAGTGGATAAAAAAGAGCACATCATTTGAAATCTTGAAACACGACAAGACCACCAATAAATGCATGTCTTAATTTCTGGGTTCATGTTCAAAATTTTGCTGAAGATGATTCTTCATTAGCAAATGACTGTTAACGAAAGGACAGCAAAACTTCCAGAAGGGTCGTCCCGAAATAACGTACCGCAATTTTTCAGTATTTTTGACCCCCTCCCCCTTGTAACGCTCTTGTGACGCAGGTCCCTATCATTTAACACGTGAAAACAAAGTGGCGTAATGCTCTCCGCGATTCCCCTCCCTCCTAGAGCTTTAAGTCACTTAGGGACAGGCCAAAACCTCGTATCTCGTCTGTGATGTTTTAAAATCTTCGCTCTGATTTTATTTTGTTTAAGGAGAACAAATAAAAAGTATTCTTTTGAAGTTTTTTCAAAATTTTCCTTGCATAGAGAAGAAAAATCATGGACGTGTTTGAGTATTGACGTTGAGTATTTTTCAATCAACGTTGCAAACCAAGATACGTGATTTGGAAGTTTCACCATCGATATGTCTACCCTCAACAGTTGATCTGCGGTAAATGATTTGCGAGTTAACAGATAATCTAGGACAACCAAGAAAAAGCTCGATTTCGACATTCCACTGAGACAGAATGCGCCTCTTGCAAACTTCTGCTGGAGCAAAAAGCAGAGTCGTTTCTCATAGAAAATGGCTCAAAAATCACGATGAACGCCAGGGCCGGATTCACCTATTTGCCGCCGATGGGCCGCCTATATTTTGTCGCCCCGTCCTCATTCGTTTTGAAACTCGATAAAAACCATTAAATGAACGTGCCAGCGGAGGAGAGGTGCATAAGACGCATTTATTCGTGTTGAACACATTTTTTGGGAAAGCCCTGTCAACACTACTTGCAAAAGTTCACGGAACTTTGCGCGAAACTTAAGATCCGTAAACCTATCTCTGTGTGGACAAGGCCCTCCATTCATAAGAAATGAACGAAAAAATTATGAAAGAACAAACATAAATGTGGCTCAATGATTTTAACTTCCGCCGCCGCGCCGCGCAGACCGCACAGTGTTTGGCGCAATGCGTGAAGTATTCGGACAGTTTTGTAGGCGCTATGAGTTTCACGCCGACGACCGCTGTTGAATGCCCTGTGTTTTACGCAATACGTGAAGTATTCACGCAGTCTTGTAGGCGCTGTGCGTTTCATGCTGACCGCAATGACCGCACTGTGTTTGATGCAATGCGTGAAGTATTCGTGCAATCTTGTAGGCGCTACTATGTGTTACATGCCGATCGCCGCGCCGAGGGCTTCTCCTTTTCATCTCAAGTCCTCGTCATCATTGCTCTCTGAGCAGCGCAGTTCCAGGCCAAATTGCGTGTTTGGTTTCTCTCTTAACTCGACTAATTAAAGGCACTGTCTCTTGTATCACTGAAAAACGACAAAAGTAGAAATTACCTAACTCTCAGGAAATGATAGATTTTGTCGCCTTTTCTCGTTTGTAATTTTGTTTGTATAAATCCGATTTTTTTTATATCTACACTTTAAAAAATTGCAAATTTTTGCCGCCCCTTAGATTTGCTGCCATGGGCCGCGGCCCATGTCGCCACCCCCTTAATCCGGCCCTGATGAACCCATCACATGAGTCTGAAATATATTATTAAATTTGCCGCCTGCGTAAGAAATAGACGTTTTTAAAAGCTTCCCGCTTCAAAAGTGATACTACGGCACAGGTGAATATGACCTAAGAAAAGTCGTTCCATCCAACCTTGCGCACTACGATGCTACACAATATTCATCACGACTGACGCCTCCGCGCGCAAATCACGAGGAAGTACCATAATCTTTATCAACGCACACGGAGAAAAAAGCTTCGTGCGTGGGACCCGAAGTTGAGGTTATACAGATCTCTGAAGTTTTTGGATCACGTATCTAAAAACTTGAGGTCTAGCTGCCGAAGTTCGGGTCAGACATCTGAAGAACTTCGATATATATACCGAAGGGTTCGGGTCACACATCTGAGGTACTCCGGTACATACCGAGGTGCCTGGATGTCTGACCCGATCTGAGGTGTCTGGTGCCGAGGTGTCTGTTTTCGGATGCGTGATCAGAAAACTTCAGAGATCCACATGACCTCAACTTCGGGTCCCATACACGAAGTTTTTTTCTCCGAGCATTGAAAATGTAAAAATAGACACGCGCCGGTTGCTAAAATCGTGTTTCGTCACGTGTGTTTTTGGCAGGTTGGCGTCAGCCATGTTAAATATTGCGTCGCATCCTAAATGGAACGACTCCTCCTAGGAAATGTTCACCTGTGCCATTTGAAGCAGAAAGCTTAAAAAACGCATATTTCTTACAGAGGTCGTCAAGTTAGGATTGTATCTTTGACTTTCCCAACGTGCTCATCGTGATTTTTGAGCCATTTTCAATGCGCATTATCTCTTCTTATTGCTCTAACTGAAGTTAGCAGCAGGCCCATGTGGACTACCTCGGAGTTAGCTCATAAATAACCAAATGGACTGCATTTTGCAATTTAGAACTATAAAGTATGGGTCTTCTGGAAAAACACTTATGTGCATAGGGAAACTAATGGCACATACGTCGTTTTTAAACCGGGCTAGAATTTATAGTTCCAAATTGCAAAATGCAGTCCAAATTATTTGTCGCTTTGGGAACTGAATGACATGCGTCAACATGGCTTCTTTTCCACAGAGCTGGGCACTTTTCAACTTCGTTGTGGGTTATCATCGGTTTGTGTTGGTATCGTCTATCATATTCTATAACAAATATCGTCTCTGAGCCTTTTACATATGGATGAGACTTCATTGAAGCGTGTATTTCAGGAAGCCAAGAGCTTTCATCACGCCCTCTTTCTGAGTCATCCTCCAACGCCCGGTCGCATCAGTTTCCCGGTAGCTCCAAGCTCAGAATTCTTCTGCCGGTTCACACCCGAAGGATCCGTGACTTCCAGCTCCGAGAGTGTGAATCTTCGCTCCTTTGACACGAAGGCTTGAATTTTTTTTGAGGTGAGTCCTACTTCCCGTATACCTCTATGATTTCCCGGGCTCACGTGAAAATTAAGTCAGGATTTTATGTCAGAAGAGAGACGGAACGAGGAATCAATCATCGAGGTGGTCACGCTGCGCTGAGCTGCGTCTCGCGCGAGAATGCAACGGTGCAATTGGCGCGATAAACAAACGCCGGGAAAGTAAACAGACAACTCGGGAGCACGAACGACCTTGCGCCTTGCTGCAGTTTTGTCTCGACCGGGAAAAACGCCGTATGTGCCTCCAAACGATGCCAAATTTCATCTGACAAATCACAAATTTCCAGGAAAACTTGTAAATATTTTTCCTCCAATTTTTCAATTAATTTTGAGCGCAATAGAGAATTTGCAGGTGTCTGAAATTTGATGAATTTCGTGTTCAAGTGAAAACTACTGAATGAACTAAACACGAAGATATCCTTAGTTCATGAATTGAACAATTATTGGAGGAGATATTACAAAATGATCTAATCTGCTAAAATACGAGTGTTTAAGTGGGAAATGCCCCTAGATGACTTCACTAGGCGGTGCATTATCTAACTTTTAAACCTATTTTTATACTATTTCCCATATCAGAAAAAAGTATAAAAAATACTGGGAAATCAGCTCTTTAAGTACTTTCAGATGAAGCAATAGAAAAAACATTGCATGCAAATTCTCCATTTAAACTAATACACCTGATCATTCCAAGAAAACATTTTCATAACTTTTTCAAAAAATGAATATTTTATAGAGGGAAATGTGGCAACATCCGAATGCTCATACGATGTTTTTGCCGCAGAGTTGGTCGATGATGGTCCAGTCGCGGTGCACGCGTCAAGCGAGACATGGACTGGACCGCCAGCAGCCCTATTCTACCTCCCGCCCGCCCCATGGAATCCGAGAGCCACTGCACCTCAATGTCTCAAGGTTTCAAGCAGTGGCGTGGCACGCTTTATGATAAATCAACTGATCTGAAACTTATAGAATAGAATAGAATAGAATAGAATAGATTATTAGGGTGTTCGCAACAAACACCTTATTAATCGATTCTTTACCAAAGATTCAACTGGAAAAATCTCGAAAGTCGATTATTCACGCTGTGCCACCGGGTGACTACACCTGGAGGGGCGTTCGCGTTCATCCACGCGTCGCATAAGCCTTTGTGAGGAATCATCAAGAAGCTCGATTATTGAATCGATATTGAATAACCTTGATCGATAAAAAGCATTGCTAAGATAGGGTTTATGGATCAGGATCATTCAGTAACGATTCAGCAATCGACCCGCTGGTCCCCAACATTCAGTCCACGTCAAACTATCAATAAACGAGATATCAACCCTATGAGGTTGCGTTTTCTGACTGAATTTTCGGACGACATCAACCTTAACCCGCCCGAATACTTTTCATGTTGCCTAATTTCCTCTCATGTTGTATTTTATATCTAAAATACTGCACAAGAGGATGCCTCGAAATTATCTGTGAATTTTTCCTAAATTATGAAGAATATGAATTCATTTAAGAGCCGATCAAGAAACTGCCTCTTTTTGAAGACGCGGAGATTTCTTCAAGTCTATCCCAAGCGAACCTTTATGTTGAGACAGAATTTCATCTTGCTACGTATTCGTAAGGGCGCGTCCTACGCTGCTGCGTGCACTGCTTCATGGAGTGGGGTGACCGGAGCGCCTTCCATTTTGTCATATGCAACACGCGCGTCCATTGAGTACGAATAGTTGTATCAAGGCGTTATTATCAACATCAATCGAATGCGTTGCTTACGTTGACGGAAATATTAGCACGAAAAGCCTCGACACGTCTTATTCTACCCGATTGCCGTTCAATACTTTGAATTAAAAAATGAGCCTGTTTAAACATGCGAGTATTTTAAAATTGTTTCATTAAAGAAAAAACTTTAATTTATTATTT